CTAATGTCGTCTCGGTTTCCTCTTATCTTTTGCGGTTGACTGCAGGGGTCAGCACACCTCTCTCTGCTAATGGCCACTTTCTACTGCCCGTCGCGAGTACGCTTCCGAGTGCGTGAGAGACTGCTTCTCACGCTCTCCCCACTCTCTTGCCTAATCGGCGGCACGCGGCACCGTCAAGTGCGGCTAGTGTCACGCGCCTGCCTGCACTAATCGTGTTCTTTCTTTCTCTCTCATCTCTCTCTTTCTCTCACTCTCTCTCTTTCTCTCCTACAAGAGCGCATAGTAACAGGCGCTCTTGTCGACCAATGCCACTGCCTCTCTCTATCTTTCTCCTTCTTGCTCGTTGCGGTGGCGATGCTGAAAACATAAAGGCAGGCATCAGGCACGTGAATTATGTGCTATAGGTCTGCCATGAGTCCACGCCGATGGTAGGGAGAGATGGGGAACACACGGTGCAGGTCGAATCCACCGGCACCGTTACAAAATTAAATTATGATCTTTAATCGTTACTTCATAATTTTTACCAAGTCCGACGTCAATCGAATAAGCGATTGAAAAGATACTTTTTTTTTAAGATTACACTTTATAAATAAACTGATTAATTTGTTTTAAAAATGATTTAGCAATGATATTGAGAAAGCTTCAAGCTACGCGTTGAATTTTTGCGAAGTTGCTCTCGTAAAAAGTAGCTCAAAATTTCGTGTTTTTTTTCTTTCTGAACGCTGTTACAACTTAGCCAATTAAGCTAGACTGACCGCTGGCAAACCAATTCACGCGCGAAACGACAAGCTTTAACGTTATTCTTTCTATATCGTTGTATGATTCTTTTTGCAGAGTTACACGCTCGGAAAAGTAAGAGGCCTATCATTTTTTAATCGATAGTAGTCGCGACAGATGAGGGTACCGCGGTCTTGCATGTGCTACCAAGGTGCAGACTGCTAGACCTACTGACAGCGTTGACCCAGCCTCGACGCCTGTATCCAGTTGTGGTCAAACATGGGAATCAGCTATTGGCTGCGTAAGCTCGATGACAATCGGTTTGTCGACTGGCAAATCGTTCTCTGGCTTATCTCGGTAAAGTTCAGCATACTACAGGGAGCTCCGCGATTATTAGGGCGTTGGAATTTTCGAAGGTATATGATGAGATTGCAATACCATCGTCGTTTCTGTCTCCATAGCTTCCACGGTTTACATCGTCAATCGAGCGAAATTCAACAATCGGATAAGTGTTTTCGCGTACGCCGTTCAAAATCAACGAGGGCGAAGCTCAACGCACGTGTAAATCACTGCTGGTCCGTGCGTTGTCCAGATCGCAGAGACGAGTGAATTAACTTGAGCCGTCGCCGAACTGAATGGCCGCGCCGAAGATAAAATACCTGCCTCGTGCCCGTAACAATTGCTCTCAGGCCTTAATTATCCTACATTCGTGTATTCTCCTTTGAAATCGAATAAACTGGATCGGGCATAGCTGCACCGTAGGTTCGCGCGTCACTTCGTCCCGCCACGAAGTTCGGGCTGCTCGATAGCCTCGTTAAGTGGCAGCTTGTCAAGCCGGCGTGCGGAATGCACAACATATCCGCGAGATTTGGACTGCGTGCCCAAAACAGACGACAAATGTGCCAAAAGTCACGCCAAAGTCGGCGGCGAAGGCTGAGTATTGCCGGGTTGCGCACCACCTCAGTTGCGCCTGCATTTTTTCGCAACGACTTTGCCATTTCATGGTTAAGTTGATAGACGAAATAGAATTGTTAGGGCTTTTCGTACTGATTGAGTAGTTAAGTTTATCATTGTCTTATAGGGAAGGTAATTGTTACCTCATAGTTACATTGTTATGAATATGACAAAGGGAGTAATACTGTATGAATATCGTCTTTCCGCATGAAATTTGTACCATTGTTGGATATTATTGTACAATACTTGTATACTTAAACCACGCGTATTACGATACGCTATTTTTCCATATGTTCTAAAACAATGCAGATCTAAACAACATATACACTATTGATATAAAATCTTAATAGTAACCATAGACAACTTCTTCAAATCGAGTATTTTATCATTTCGATCTCCTAAACAAAATTTAAAGTTAAAGGTTGAAAACCTAGTAAATTTTTATTTTTAGCTATGTACAATTCAGATTATAAGTCCAACAAATGATGACATGCTTTCTCTTAGGAATATTAAAAATTATTTGCACGTGCTTATTATTGTGTGGCTCACATTACAAAGATTAAAATGACTGTCAAATTTTTAATGATTTTAAAATTAATCACAAGTCAATATCTCAGGTGTAATTTGAATTCCAATAATTAATTGTTAAATAAGAAAATACGTTTACAATTTATTCATCCTATTTATCTTATTTCATTGACACTCCGCGACGAATAATAACTTTCATTTGCTGTATCGGTGATAGAATATCAGCTTAGAATAACAGCGTCAAGCTACAAAAATTTCCTTTCTCTCGAATCATTCACAATGTTATCAACGATAAACAATTGTATTTGAAGTACCAAATAAAGAGATGAGATCATTCAAAAGTTCGTATGGCTTGTCGACGAATGAATTACAGAATAACATGGGCAATAGCAAGCATCATTTCCGCGACGATTACACGTAGGAATTTCTTTTCTTAAAAAATTGATGTGCATTAAGAAAAAAATGAAAGGGAATGACGTGTCGTATTAATGTAATTATGCGATCGAAACCGAAAATATCACTGAATGTAATTTATTCTGAAGCACTTTGAATGTAAATCGAAGTAAAAAAATATTATTATACCAAAATGAGTCACATGTTTAATAAAATACTTTGTTCGTTTTAAAAATGAAATGATACGCATTATTCTTTTGATTTATTTCTATCACCTAACAATAATTAAATAATGCCAATATTGAATGTCGTCTCAAAAAGTATACAGTACACAATCGAACTTTAATTTTTAATTCTGTATCTTTATTTATGAAGAAAATTATACTACTTAATGCATTTTCTTCATTTATAATTAATTCTTAAAAATTAGCCTGAGAATGCAAGAGTCAAATCGAAGATTGATATGATTATTTATCGATAACAGTAAATACATACATAACTTATTTGAAAGGTAGTATGAATACCCGCGAGAATAAAAGCAAATGAAAAATGAAGCTAGACATTTGAGGTTATACAGATGAAAAGCGACATTTTGAAATATAAGTCATCTTTTTATAATAAAGTTACGCACTCAAGATAAATATCGTACAGCAAAAACTTGTTCGCAAGAAAATTCCATCTATAACGATCAAATTGTAAAAGCTACGTGCTATGATGATTTTCTATTCCAAATGAGCAATAATTCAGAATGCATACATTTTTGCAGCCCATTATTATCCTTAAAGTACGTGAACATTGTGCCCACGAACGAAAAATTGTACATGATTTGCAAAAATTCATTTCGAATAGATATGGTATAATTGTATGTAAATACACTTATCACGTGGCTTCATCCTCTTCAGCTCAGCTGTTAATCATATGTTTATTCTGGGTTTGTTGTTAGACAAGAGACACACATGCATATGCACACAGCGCCTATATTTATGTGTGTGGGCGTGTGCGTGTCTATGTATAGTAGTGTAGTCGTAGTAGATGTAGTCCAGACTTTGCGTAAAATATCTTGGAAATTAAGGCTGCTCTGACCAATTCATAGCCAGAAATTAAGCTTCGTAAATTTCTCAATTATTTGTTTGTGGTGTCTCGTTCTCTCTCTCTCTCTCTCTCTCTCTCTCTCTCTATGCTCTCTCGGCTCTCGACAGCTGCAGAATTTTATTTTGAGCGCTTATACAGCAATTGAATAAATTGCTTACGTTACTGCAACGAAGAACTTTCTCTAGGTGAGTTAAGCAGTAAAACGATTAGGTTATCGTCAGTAAATAAAATGGCTGAACAAGGCCCTCTCCTCACATACTCTTCTTAGTCTATGAGCCAGAGTGGGGGTGACGCGCATCAGGCTTAAAGTGTATTTGATGTCATTTGAGTTGATCGACGAACATTATTTCTATGGTGATTTACTCACAATTCAACAGATAATTAGTTACTAACAATTAATCAATTCACTTATATTTTGTAAACTGTCATGTATTACGTATCTTGTAACGGATTTCTATATGTGTGTATAAATTTTCTTAGATACGAAAAATGTTGCATAGAATTTGAGATATCGTTTAAGAAATCTAAATTTATGTGCAACTGGTACTGGCAAACTAAAATACTATATATATATATGTGTGTGTGTGTGTGTGTGTGTGTGTGTGTGTGTGTGTGTGTGTGTGTATATATATACATACATACATACATACATATATATATATATATGCGCTTATTTGAATAATATTAATGCTAATACTGTGAATTATTAAAATTAAAGGTGCAAAATGCTGTGCTTGAAACTGAATATCGTCATGGATGTTTGAACGTAAAGTACCTGTACTTAACTGAATTAGTAGTTTTTTATTTTCTATTTAAAAATATGTAAAATATTTGTCAAGATCTGGTATCCAGCTGTTGTCAAATTTAGTCGAAAAAAAAAAACTCACGATTCTTGTCGCTCTTCAAGCAAGCACTTCGCCATTGCTGTTGGCAGCGCTTTTAGAAGGTGAACGGACGAGAGGGAAAATGGCGAAAATAAGCGGACAACTTATTACGGCGTGGCGTCTCTCACCCTAGAAGATCTCGATTGCCTGCATTGATGCGCACTCTCTCAGAGGATAGAGAGACACAGAGAACGCGCTGCTCGTGCGAAACCGGCAGTGGTCGAATTCGCGGGTATAGTGCCGAAAAAAAAAAAAAAAAAAATCACTCCCACTGTTTTCCCAAAACAGGAATAAAATCCGATGAATGGTGCGTGCATTGCAATTTCGAGTTTGCCTAATCGAAGCGGAAGTTTCCCCCCCTCCGCCGTCATCGTCTTAACGCGGAAAGTTAACGTGCTGTCCTGTTCTCCCGCCCCACACTTTTCTGCTGGGAAATTCTCCGTAAAGCGTACCCCGGCCACAGTGCGCTTCGTTCCTCGTCATCCTGTACGCAAACGCGTATTTTTCTCACGGCTCTGAGATGTTATAGAAGGTTCGTCTCGCTTCGACGTATCGAGGTAAGTGGGAATTGTTAAGCGAAGCACGCGCATAATCGAATACGTTAATAGTGAACCAATAGGAGGCGTTGCGCTGCCGTCGCCGAGCGACGTTTTCAAGATTTGCCTAGCGTTGGAAGGGCCATCAACGCCGCGAGTGTATATTCCGCCAATGTGTCCTATACTTCGTTGTGTACAATGGCGCCGAACTATCTCGCGACCCAGTGATATCTGCTTAAATGCACACGCGTAGGTCGTACGTAATGTTACGATGCCAATAGCTCGAGAAGGTCGTGTCCGCGAAATGGAAAGTGGACGCGTGGGTGAGCAGCAATAGCGTCTACCAGATTTCCCGAGCTGCGAGAGATATCGGTTGGGAGACGCCGCGTCACCGCGCGTCCAAGCCTCTTCCTTATCGTTGTTCTCAAAATATTTACTCGAATAGCCCCAGCCGATTTTCCCGCTGGGAACTTCACGGGCACGGCTTCGTACGGCCGACGCTCTCGTTCGCTGTGCGCGCGGGATGCTCTGTGCGAAATGGAAATTTGCGGGGCCGTTATGCCGACGCGTCATTTCAACGGGCGTATTAGAGGCTGTCGTTCGCGCGAAAATTGACCTCTGTCTCGGCAACGGCAAAATCTCCCAGCGGAGCGAGCTTAATTATTTCAAAATATTCGGGACACGTTTAACTTTTAGCTTATCAGGTTTGCAACACTTGATTTTCCTACGAATTTTTCTAATGAGTAATAAAAAGGAACAAATGAGGTCATCAATTATTTTTAATAAATTAACAATATTCGTAGTACGTACGGTAGAATATAAAAATTTATAAACAATTATTCCTTAACGTTTTCCCACACACGCGCGCGCGCGCATCTCGCTCGTTCTCGCAGCTTTATAACAATATGGCACCCGATGTTTTTGTTGATTGTTTTCTCCAAGTGCAGACACAGTGCGAGCAATATCCATACAGAGCCGGTATTTCCCCAAACTCATACGGTTCTTAGAATAATAAAGTTGTTGCAACAGTCTTTTGAAACTCTAAATCTTTGCAATGTACAAGCTTGTGATTAAGAAAAAAATAATTGGAAAAATGTCAAGACGTGGTTTGGTTTCTCTAACATTTATTATTTTATTTATTGAGAAAAATGCCTGCAAATAACATCACTCCAAAGTAAAAAATCTCGACCAACACTTTGGAACATATTTTTTGGCAACAAACTGTAGTTTTGAGATATAATAATAATTTTTAACAACAAATAGCTGATTTTTATCAAGAGTCGCGGTCTGCGTAAGAGTATGCCTGAAATAGGTACGAAGCTTGGGGTCTGATCGAAGTCGAAAACATACACTAAGCTCTATAACCCCAGGGGTCCGATTAATAAAAAAATATCCAATTAAATTCTAATGACATTAGGTTTCCATTCTAATGAATTGCGTTCTAAATGTTCTAATGCTAGACAATTTTTTATTTACATATTTTTATTCGAATGAAAATATTATGTAATTAAATTAATAACAAATTATCAAATATTTAGTGTGGAAATAAATTATATTAGTGCAATTAATATTATTATAATGTTGTAATATTATGTGAAGTTATTATACAATTCAAGAAATCAATTTATTTATTGGATAACCATAAATAAATAAATAAAAAACATTATTAAAAATGATCATTTCTACAAATTATGTAAATTCCATGTCTATTAAAAAATAGCATAATATTTGCATCTTTAAAAAATATCTTCTGTTTTTCATTACTATATAAAGCAACTAGTAAGTTAATGTACCCAAAGTTAATCTCTATAAAGTTAGCTCGATCATTGAACATGGTTAATTATTGAATTTTTTTGAATTTTATTATTCAAGTTCAATCAACTGATTTTTACATGTTCACATTATTCACAATGCAAGCACGTTTTACACACATATACGTGAATAATTGATATAGGTATACACCACTTAAAACTAAAACGTCTTCATTTTTTATCAAACATTTACTTCTTTCAGCTATAAGCGTATGAAAGTTTATTCTATCCGCCATCAATATTTTACTGGTGCATATAAATTTATATGTATAAACATAGTTATACAATAAATAAATTGTTTTAATGAATTATATGTAGTAACTTCCTAGAATACTACAATCTTAAAACAGTATTATTAATTGTGGTACTTTTCAAATAAGAATATATGAATAAAGAGTTGTTCAGTATCCAACATTCGGAACATAATTCATTAGAATTGAAATCGGATGTCACTAGAATTTAACCGGATACTTCTATATAATCTGGACTAAAAATATTTCATTTTTTTATAATCTCCACGCGTGGTCAACTGATATACATCAATCCAATAGTAAAATCGAAAGTCTAGATTACGTACTTTCATTAAAAAAAAAAACTTTGTTTAATTGATGCAATTTTGAGAAAGTTATTTGGACAACTTTTCGACAGCTAAAGGAATTTAGCGGAAAATCAACGAAAATTAACCGAAAAAAATTATAGAAAAACTGCGCGTAGTTAACAAAGATAGCAAAAATTATTTATAACTCCGCGCAATTTCATCATTGATAAAAAAATTATACAATTAATTAAAAATTACAAAATCATACAGAGTTGATCACTCATAGATCATGGGTAACTGTATCTGCACGAATTTACGAAAAATGTCAGGATGAAGGGACTCACTGGGAAGTCGATAATAATCGTACCAAAAAAAATTATAGAAAAACTGAGCGTTATTAGTAAGCATAAGAAAACAGATTATTAATCCCAGGCAATTTCGCTTTAATTAATAAAAAAAATTGACAAAATTGTTGACCCACAGATTATCGATAATTGTATCTGCCCGGCGTTTAAATACTGTTACAACATACATAAGCCTGCTCAATCGTTAGCAAAAATCACACGCAATTTTTCTATCCAATCAAAATATTATTATAACTATCGGTTAAGGAATAAATATTATTTCTCACTACAGTCATATACATATGCACCTGAAAGATCAATCCGTAACATAGATCTGTACATTTTTATTATTATAAGTCACACTCTCAAAATTGTGAGAGCTGTATTAAGGAATAGGTTATTTTCTGAAATAATCCTCAATGTTCTAGGGGTTTTTGGAACTTTTGGAAATTTTTGTTTTATTAACGAAATCTTAATTGCGCAGAATTATTAATGAGTTCTGCGTTCTTTGCCAATCATGCGCAAGTTTTCTATAATTTTTCCAATTTCATTTTCGTTAATTTTCCGCTGAGTTCTTTTATCCTATCAGTGTAAGAGCTGTAGTGATAGGAATGGCTTATTTTCCCAATAACCAATCATTTTAACTACTCCAATATTTACGTGGTATAAAATACCCACTTCTAATTAATAGTTGACATTGACGGTTATTTCAGAAAATAACCCTTTCTTTTAGGTGCATGTATCGCTGTACTGAGAAATAATATTTATTACTTAACGGATTGTTATGATAATATTTTGATTATATCGATAAACTTCGCATGATTTTTGCTAACGATTCATCAGGTTTATGTACGTAGAAACAATATTTAAACGTCACGCAGATACAATTATCGATAATCTGTGGGTTAACAACTTTGTCATATTTTTATTATTAATTAAAACGAAATTGCGCGAGATAAGTAATCGGTTTTCCTATTCTTACTAACGACGCGCAGTTGTTCTATAATTTTTTTGGAATGATTATTATTAATTTCCTGCTGAGTTCCTTCATCCAAAATGTCAGTATAGTCTGAACATTATAAATGTCGGTACGTATAATGAGATATCACTTATAGCCCGATGCCGGTAATGCAGATATACTTTCAACCTACCAATACGTGCCTTGAGACGTAGGCATGATCAGCTCGTATCAAAGAACTATCAATTTGTAATTATTGATATAATTACATATTTATTAGAAACGACCATCGGCGATTTACCAAGTGCTCAATTCTAAACACTCGTATCAATAATACTCATTACATATGATCCTGTTACAGTTAATTAAATCTACTCTTCTTTCCTGCCAACCACACTTTTCGTAAACAGTAAAACTTACATGCGAGTAGGCAAATGTTAAGACCTAGAGTCTAGAGACTGTAGAAATCAATTTTGTAATTGCAAACAAGTAAAAATTATATAATTTGACAATTTTGATTGTAATTACAAATCGTTCGAAATTGCATATTCGTAATTATAATAATTGTTAAATTACATTTTTTACTTGCTTACAACTACAAAATTGATTTAAAAATACAAGTTTCTAGGACTCTAGGTGCTAGGTATAAGCGACAGCCTACTCGCATGTAAGTTTTGTTTTTTGAGAAAAATGCGGCAGGCACGGGAGAAGGAAGAGTCGTTAATAAGCGTTTTTTTTTTAACAAAAAGGTAAAAAGTTTTTCAAATTATCATATTGATCTGAAAAGTCGTGGGGCTGTTTACCTTTATGTTACGTATCTACTATATATGTACGTGATAAGGATCATATGTAATAACAAACTTACCAAGTTTTAAAAAAATCGGTGGTTGCGAAGAAAATTTATGTATGAACTAGTCTGAAACATTTAACGAAAGCAATTGCGTTAGCAACAAGAAAGTAAAAGAAATCACGTTATCGAACATGATATCTTCTTTATAGTACTCATTAGTCTTGTTATTTTTGCATTTCCAATATTTATGGTTCATTTTATGACAGGAAATTAACGTTACGTAATTTGCTAGCTATATATTTTTAAATGCTTACACAGAATCTACCTATTCTTTATATTTTTTCATACTTACTTTATCATTCATACTGACGTCAGACGCGCTCTTATCTTTTTTTTATTTCTTGCCATATTGATCAATATATTTAACATAAATTATTTTTCAAAAAGGAGGATTTATCAATTTTTTCACGAAACGCATATCACAGCAGGAAAATGTGTATTAGTAAAGCAGTTTCGCTTATTCCAAATTCATGATTTATCATATTGAAAACTGCTATAAATAATTTTTAGTTCTTTTCAATTATAAGAGTCAAATTACTGCTAAACAGTTATATTTTGAATAATGGTTTCGATGTTACAACATTTATTTCAATTTTGCACATCCAAACATCAGGTTATCGATTAGTAATAGAAAAATAGTCAAAACTATTCCAAATAATCTCTTACTTTCATGAAACAATTTACTCGCTGCTAATTTCATAAAATGAGTGTGAAAACGATAAGACTGCAGCTTATTTTTTGTATTTTCGTTATCTTCAAACTGGTCCGTATCAATGATGATAAAATGGATTTTTAATTACTGCTAAAAAGTCTCAATTCTAAACCATAAAAACAGCCTTATTTGCCGTTTCATACCGGTATATCACGTGATCATATCCGAGCATAGCATTCATTACTTTTTTATTGAAAAAGGGGGGGGGGGGGGAGGTTAGTCGACGTTAAACAATGAAAATTGAATGTTTTCTTTATTGACTTGTAAATATCAATCTCATGAAGATATATCGTTATGAAACTTTTTTTTAAGTATTCATAATAAGCTTCAATTTTCTTGTACGCAAGTGAGAAAACTGATATAACACTTTATTTATTGAAAAGATTTACATATACGATCCTAAGTGACTATTTTCAATAAATAAATATCGTATTAATAGTGATTTTCTGGGGAGTATATTTGAGATTTTGAAACTTGCGACCAATAGAAAATAAAAACTTATTACGACTACTTCAAGGTGTTAGATAGTTATTCAAAACCTAATTGACATTGCAATGGCTTACCTCAAACTTACCAACGTGTCGACATTTATTGCTAATGCTAAACCGGCTCTGTACAATTTTGGATAAACACACATGATTCTCTCAACCTTTTACAGAAAATTCATATCACATATTTTAATAGTAACCGATCTATCGGGCTACGCGTGTCACGTGAATTTTGTTTATTACTTATTTTATACGAATAAGAAATATCTTCTATTTATTTAAAACATTAAATAATCATCAAGTGACATTGCAATTTGAATACCGTAAAAACGACTGTTGCAGGGTTACATTGAACGATCTTAACGGACTCGAACTAACCTAATTGGCAATTGGAAGCAAGTAAAATTGGTTGCATCTGACAAAAACAATGTGTGCAACAAAATCATCATCTGACGAAGAGACACCGACTGCGCAAGATACAAATTCGATCACTATAAAGAAGCCAAATTTTCTCAGAAAAAAGAGAACATTGCCATTTGAGCTTCGATTGCTCAAGCAAATGCAACACGACCGCCGCAAAAAACTGCAGGGTGAACAGTATGATGATATTTGTGATCACATATCGGTGATCGAAATGGAATTATCGGAGGTGAATGAGCTTCTTGGTGAAGATATTGAAACAAATGTCAAACAGGAACTGGCCTCGGATTATAATCTTTCTAAGTGCAGACCGGCTGAGTCTCTATTAAGTGAAATACGTGCCCAGCAAAACTGCTCTTCTTCAAATTTATCAAGTAGAAACCATATTTTCCCTTCTCAATTGACTTTGTCACTTAGAATTCAAAGTATTTCAAAAGTATTTTAAAATTTTTTATTTGCTTTGCAAGGGGATAAATGTAATTTTGACTTCGACGAGTATGACAATATAGAAATAGTAATGAACTACGACGCGGACGAAAGTTGCACCGAAACTGATGCTGTGATTTTTGCAGGCCCATCAAGTAAATTTGTGCAATTAATTACAATATTATTGTAGTTGACGTACGTTTTAATATTATTGATTTCAAATGCACGTACACGTTTAATGACTTAATTCGGTTTTGAGTTCATAGAAGCACCGCAAAGCGAATGTTAAATAGAGTTGTATTCTACACATCAAAAATATTTTGGCATTATGAATTCATCATAAAAATGTTCAAACACAGAGAAATAAATCACTGTCGGTCGTTTTGCAAAGTTTTTGGGGTGTGTTCACAATACCGAAATAATTTTTGACTTGTACGAAGAAAAGCTGTGACATTCGAATTTTTTTAAGATGCATTCTCAATCAATAAGGTACGTCGCAAGAAGAAACATGTCTCGTTACGGAAAAGAAAGAGACATCTCAAGATAATGAACACGTGGAACCGAATGATGCTGACGCGGAAAATCACGAGAAATTTGATACTGATACGTCAAATGATGAAAGAGGTACCCTCTAATTGGCATCACATTCATCAGTTTACTTAACTCAATCAACTAATTCATTCCACCTAACAAAATTTTTAAAGCAATTCATTTCAAATTTTCAATCATTCAGTACAACTTTAATTTTCAGAATTGTCAGCGTATGAACAATATAATCGAGCCTTAAAACCATGGAATCGTCAAGTTTTCGAAATAGAACAAATACTTAGGCGCAAATACAAAATTCAAGGGGTGAGCAAAGCATCATATTTGAAATTTAGTTAAAATTTAAACTACGATTGTATCATTTCGATCGATTACAGACGGTCATTGCATCTTCGTCACGGATTCAAAATTTTAGAAATCTTCTAATCAATATTAAGAAAATACATCAGTTATTACTAGAGCCAAAGGAATTGAAGAACGTGAAACATTATGCAGAACTACAGGCCAGAGTTGCCATTACGAAAACGATGGAAACCTGCAATTTTCGGCCGTTTAATTACCTCAGTGAGAAAAGTATTCTCATTTTGAAGCAAGCTGATAAAGAACTGTAAGTCAGAAATATTTTCAATAATACATGCTAATTTTACTATAAATAAAATTGTGTATTTGTGGCTTTTTAGGGCTGAATTCCAGTATATATTGTATAAATCCAAAATGGATCTTTTGAAAGGGTGACCTTTTTCATCTTATACCAAATACGATCTGAATTGTTTCTCAGAATTGAAAAAGATTTTTTATGATAGAAGTAAGATAATATGTAGAAAAATTTAGATTAATTTGCTGAATTGCGATAGAATTTTACATAGAAATAGTTGAATTAGTCGCTTAAATTGTGCTATATAGGATTATACAGACAATAGTCTGAGGCATACTGTCGTTTTTATATTAGTAGCCCATTGTTAGTTTCTCGAAGTACATACTTTTATTTTTTTTTATCAGATTGAATAGTGACGGTTAAAGAAATTTATTCAGACGTAAAATAGATACATCATGTTTGTATTCGAGGTTTATATAACAATTGTGATTTGTACTGCCAAATCAAACCGAAATGTGTATATATGTGTGAAATAATCAATTAGTTTTATGAATCTTGTTGGAAAAGCCTTCATAGACGTAAATTGATGTTTTGAGAATTAATAAAGAAAAAGTTTATTTAAAAAAATCACGGTGGTTTACACCTATTCTGGCAAATTCTTTTTCATAATAGTAATATATCAAGGCTTAGTGAGATTAGCTCCGTCATTTGCCAAATTCCTTCCATAAATTGCAAAAGCCATTAGCTGGCTTTCGCTTTCCCTCAGAGATAACTTTCTTGCGGTTCCATCAATCTCACTCAAATAATTTTGATATTTGATTTTTGAGTAATCGACTGGCATGAGGTTGGCCGTCAACGTCATTGGCAAATAAAATGTCTTTCGATACTCGCTGCGATCGCTGACTATCTGTTTTATTTCTATTTTGTGGAAGACCGTCGGATTAATGACGCTCGAGTTGGGACTGAAGCGATCGCCACAGCTCGCTAAAGTATCGTCACGACAGAAGAACAAACCACAGACTTGGATTCCAACGGTGAACAGTCCAGCAAAAAGTCGCGTCCCATTGAATACGCCAATTCTGTATCTATAACAATCCAAATGCTTATGTAAGGATAACACTGATGTAAATTTGCATTTAGTTTAAAAATAATCAATCGCTTCTTTACATCGCGTATGAGCGCATATTACCTGTAGTAATCCTTTCCAGACTGCTTTGCAAGGTTATCATTGAAACTCACATCGATCTTAAAATCACAGCAAAGACCACGGTTACATAGTTTCCTCTCGTGCAAAAGTTGCTTTGGGTCGACGAGCTCCGTAGTGTAAGTCCTAAAATCATCCTTGTACATGAAGTCCTTGACGTTATCCCACACCGTTGGAACTTCCGACTGTGAAAATGCGTAAGCTTTCGGTCTCGTCAGATTGGAAAGGGGCTGGCGTTGACCATTGATGACTTTTGGAATTTCAGTTACGATGAGAACATTAGAAGCCACGTTCGGAATCGTTGCTCTCGATATACCGGCCCGCCCTAAGTATATGCCACTCCCTTCAATCAAGACAAATAAAATGAGAATCTCTCGATAATTATTTCATATTTAGAATGTCGAATCGTTACCTCCGTTAGTAATCGCAGGCTCGTTGAAGCCAGAGCTCAGCAGATTAACGTCGTTCGCGTACGCCCAAGCGGAATGCGCCTGCACCGACGTAAGGAATGGCAACTCGGAAAACCACTCGGCCGAGAACACGACGTCCTTGCCGTGCTTGCTCGCGAGCTCGAGGGCGGGCTCGCCGTAGAGGATGTCGTTGCAAATGATTTGCCCGAACCTCACGCCGAAGTCGGTGTCGAAAATGGATATCTCCGCGGCGGCAGTGACGTTGACGCCCGGCTCGAAGAACAGGTTGTACTTGCGATAGCGCGCGATCAGCCTACCTTGTCTGTCGAACACCACGTTGGTGTTGTAGATGAGGAAGCCGTCGCCGGCGCAGTTCGGTTGTTCCGCTCGGCAATCGACTTTCTCGTAGTGATTGACGACCACGTAGATGCCGAATGCTCTGGCCGCGCAGGATACGCTTTTCAAAGCCTGCGAACGTCGACGACAACCGAGAGATGCGATCCGCAATTGATCGGCCGAGTAGTTGTCGTACCTGCGTGTAATTGCCACTGGAGCCGCATAAAACGACCTGGTCTCGCGAATCCGGCAAGTAGGAAGCCATGTGGTAGTAATGCTCGCGGATTCGCGCAGTGGACCAACCCGTCAGATTTGCTGGGAAACTACTCAGACCAACTTCCGGGAACACAATGATGTCCGCACTCTTCAAGGGGAATTCGATTTACATACGCGGTCGATGTAGTAAAGGATTGTTGACTTACGGATTCGGATGCTTTCTTGACGATTGTCCGAAGATGATTAGCATTTTGCGCTGCAACCTCGAGGCCATCCCGACCCTCGGTCACTGGTCGATACTCAACTACTGCGCCAATGTAGCTCGGAGACGACGGACTCGACGCCTTTATAACAGGTGATAAAATCCAATTACGATGCAGCCTTTTTTTTAATCAGGGAACTCTTGCGTCGAAAATAGCTTATACCCACACAGCTGACCATTGGTAACAGCAGCAAAAGTGCGCCGAGTGACGAGCACGTGACCTGCATTCTTTACTGCGAAGTAAATTCGAGAACGAACATTATGCCAGCACAGTAACATATAGATTACGTAATCGCTCGTAACATTTCTTCGCTTCAACGCGGCTACGAACAAATACGCACGAGAAGAAAAAAAATTATCAATGGAAATTCATTCGAATAAGCGCGTCGTTCGTTATGACCTATGACGGTGCGATAAAACTCGCGCGAGGACAACGAACGAACGAGCGCGGCGTAATCCCCGGGAATTTCCCCAGCCGCTTCTCACTTCTCGAAATACGTCGCCGATCCGCGAGTCGATATGCCGATTCACGATGAATCGGCGCCGGGCAAGGCAAAGGCAGGATTCGCGCGCGCGATCGCGCCACGCGCGACGTCCCCCGATACGACAATTCCGGAAGAGCGCGGCGGCGTCGTCGTCGGACGAATCTCCGCGTCAGGCTGGTAAGGCTGGCAGATAAGGCGCGACCACCGGCGTTATCGCGCGTCGCGAGAGGACCGCTGACCCCCGACGCGCGATAACAACTCGTTTCTCTTTCTCCGCGCGTTCCATTGGACGTGGACGCGTCCGTCCGTCGCTTCGAGACACTTGCCGACGTCGTCGTCCGTTTTGAGAAGCTCGGTGCTCCGAAGCGCCGCGCCGGACGAACGGGTCGACGATCGACGCGCCTCCGCAACTCCGTCGAAACTCGGCTGCTCGATCTCGCGGAACGACGCGCACGGCAGCGACTCGACCGAGTGATCTGCCGAGCGATAAGCGGCCATTTAAGCTCGCCGCCAGCCGGAGGTGATTCCCCAAAGCAGGAAAGTTCGGGCGTGGAAACAACGCGTAACGAATCGCACGCGCCTGCACTGTTTACAATCCGCGCTCTCTCCGGCATTGTTTTATTGGCTTGGCCGATAAGACGTTGACGTTTAAAATTACCTACGAGCGATTGGCGCGCAAACCGATTGGTTACGAGCCTATTTCAGCTCGGCGCGTTCGATTGATCAATGTAAACAGTGGCGATAACGGGGACAATGAGTCGGGCAATCGTTCGCGCGCTCGCGTAAATCGCGCTGCTCCTCTCGCTCGTCGAGTCGTCGCTCGTGCCGCGGGCGCGACGAAGAAAACGAGGCCCCGCGAGCAATTGGCGTGTCACTGGCGCGTCCGCGACTGGCGTAATCTCTTCGCGATGTATATGGAATCGCCGCGCACGACGGCAGCCGAGCTCCTCGGGTAGATCGTGCGCTCGAACGAAACCACAGCAGACCGCGGGAGCGCGAACGAAGAACGCTGAGCAGCGGGTGACCGGTGCGCGGCGAAGTGACAGTTGTTGGAAAATTAATTGAAACTCCTCGCTTGGCAACCGGGAACGAAAGGAAAACTTATCGAATAAACGTTCTAGAACAATCGCAAACAAATGTAACACAGACGTACGGTTTTATCGTTAAAATTGATCGCAGCAGCGGCAAGGATTGCCGCGTTTAGTGCGGCAGCTGCATTATTGAACGCCAGTCGACGATGAATCCAAAGTGGAGAGGGAAGATAGCGCAGAGAGCACAGTGAACGGCTAGTACACGTATACGGAAGGGAGCTCGGTTCGACCGCGCGGCTGTCGTAGATTTTCCGAATTTTTCATCCGGGCCAAACGGAGTGAAAAGAAACGACGATGTACTTATTTATTATACAGAGCACGTTCCCTCGTTGCAAATGATCATCGAGAGATTCCGGGAAAATCTATGACTCGTTGTTCGCGCACACTATTCACGTATGGACGAGCCGCGATAGGCGGATTTATCAACGAGTACGCAACGAAACGAAGAACACGACGAGGTGTACGCTGCTGCGCATCGAATGATTCTTTCTTCGAGTACGCTTTCGCTGGCTCGTTGGTGTCGTCGAGGCGCGTGCACGCTCAAACGGCTTTGGTCCATCCCCTGCAGGATAAGCCGACGCGACGCACGGCGCGCGCGCGTCACACCGGACGGGGATCCCCACACGTCGGCGCATCGGTCGAGATGCAGATCGATCGAGCGCCAGCGCGTGTCCGCGCGTCGGAGCCGATTATATAAGCGCGGGCAGCCGCGGCAGTTCAGTCAACTTGGGGACGGCGGCGCAGCTCGCGGATCCGGTTATCCGCTCTCGCTCTCCTCGAAAAGCCGCCGCCTTCGGGAAAAGCGACCGCGCGCCGCTCTCTCTCTCTCTCTCTCTCTCTCTCTCTCTCTCTCTCGCATTAGCATCGGCGCGCCGCTCGCGCGCACACGCTAGTTTCTCCCGGAGTACAGTGTACGGCCCGTCCTTGTTTTCCTGAGCTGCGTTGCTGCTATCACCCGCTGCTTTCTACAATGGTTGGTCATTATTTACTTTTCGTGTTTACTGTTTTTGTTTTCCTCTTTTTCTCTTTCTTTTCTTTCTTTTCTTTCTTTGTTTTTTTTTTCTTTTCGTTAATCGTTGTTGGGGATGCAGGACGGCTCTTGGCAAGATTCGTCGCGTAAACGAAAAGATTTGCTTGCTATCGTCTTCCGTTTGTAAATAAATATCGCGTACGTTGTGCGGAATCACCCACTACAGCTCAATCAGTCGTAGCTCGGTTTTAACGCGGTCTTTGTTTTGCCGTAGCTCGGCAATGGGTCAGTTGTCAGGAAATCAACGGTTTTCGAAAACTTTCGCAAAACGATTGACGTCTATTTTTATTTGACTTTCGCGTGCAACGCATTTTCCCATTTTCTACGCATAGAGAGAAAGACTGCAATTACGCGAAATCGACGCTCGTAAAAAGAAAGAAAGAAAGAAAAAAAAAAACATACGAACAAGAAGCAAACAAACGCAGCTGTAAATGATACATTTTACGAGGCCCGTCGGGTGTGCGATCTAATTGTACTTAAACGAAATCATTGTTGTACAGGTGAGCACGCGAAAATTAAAAGTCGCCATAATCGGCCAAAGCAATTTCGCGGCCGAGGTTTATCAAGCAATCAAGAGAGATGGTCACGAGGTTACGGGAGTTTTCACGATTCCCGATAAGAATAATCGAGAAGACCCGCTGGGTAAGTGACGGAAAGTCAGCATTCACAGCGCGCAGAAAGAGAGAGAGACTTGCTTGCAATATCACGACGCGATATCGCACGTTGCTTTTCCTCCCCCAAAATCATTGGAGTTTCCACGATGACTCGTATTTTCCTCCTCCCCTCGCGCTCGCGGAGGTCGTCGGATATCGCAGCGGCGTCCGCGTTGCGCTCGCTCGCGTAAGAACGATTATGCAGCTGATCCGGTCGCGTCGGCTGCCGGGAAGAAATTGCCCGTATTGCATAAGGTCGGCGCGAGCTTGCGCAACGCGGCGCGCCAAAGAGAAAGGTAAAGGGGCGTTCTCGCGAAGGCCCGTCGCGGATCGAGGCGACGATTCCGCTCTGCGAAGCGAGTAAACATTGCGCTCGGATTTTCTTCTTTTTTTTTTTTTTTTCGGCCGCAGCTCAAGTGGCATCGTCCAATGGCACGCCGGTGTTCAAGATCAAGGCCTGGCGTAACAAGGGGGTGGCGCTACCCGAGGTGCTCGAGCAGTATCGAAGCGTCGAGGTGGACCTCAACGTGCTGCCCTTCTGCACTCAGTTCATACCGATGGAGGTGATCGATTACCCGCGCTACCGGAGCATATGCTACCATCCCTCGCTTCTGCCGAGGCATCGCGGCGCCAGCGCTATCAGCTGGTGAGTACTCGCGACGTTCCAGCGGCGCCAGGTGATTTACCAAAGTCCTCGAAGGCAACGTTGGCCTTTGAGCGCGTTTAATTTCTCTTTCTCCTCGGTAGAAGCAGGCGTGAAATTGTCGAAGCAGGGCTCAATCGTTAACGTCTATGACAAACGAAAAACGAACCGCGAAGCTACACGAGCACTCGATGGATACGCTTAACCGAGATACAAATGCGTTTCGCAGGACGCTGATCCAAGGCGACGAAACCGGCGGCTTCACGGTGTTCTGGGCCGACGACGGTCTGGACACCGGGCCGATCCTCCTCCAACGCCGCTGCGACGTCGATCCGAACGACACGCTGGACTCTCTGTACAAGCGATTCATGTATCCCGAGGGCATCAAGGCGATGGCCGAAGCCGTGAACCTCGTCGCCGACGGTGTCGCCCCGAGAATTCCTCAGCCGAAGGACGGCGCGACCTACGACGCGATGCTCAACAAGAAGGAATTGCAGCGGATCGACTGGAAGAAAAGGAACGCGAAGCAGGTCCACGACTTCGTCAGAGCGCTCGACTCGACGCCCGGCGCTTGGACTCTCGTTGGCGAGCAGGAAGTCAGATTCTACGCGAGCAGCCTCTGGAACGGTGAGTGTCGATCGCCTTGCCGCGACCTTGCGATTTCGACTGGCGTCCAGCGCAACGAAAGACAGTACCTTATCCATCGATCGCGGCGAAAGTCTTTCGCTCGTGGCGCGTCGGAAGAGAAAAAAGCATTTGGGCGGCAAGCTCGTTGTCTAATCGGCCGACCACCGCCTACAGGAAAGGAAACGCCGGTGGGCGACGAAGTGAACGTCGACGGCCAGCTAGGTGTCGTGAGCGACGAGGGCCTGCTGATAAGAGCCAGGGGCGGCTGGGTAAAAGTGGAGGTTTGCAAAGTCGGCGGCAAGACGATCAGCGCCAGCAAGTACGGCAAGTCGCAAAACGGCACGGCCAGCGTGGCGTTCACCGAGGAGGAGCTGGCGAGCGTCGAAGCCATCAGAAAGATCTGGCAGGACATACTCAGGCTCGAGGTCGACGACGACACGGATTTCTTCGCCTGCGGTATGGTCCCGGCGAGATTTCTTTGGTTTGCCCGGGGGGAGAGAGAAAGAACACCTTTGACGACTCGCTTGCCGTTGGACGACAGGTGCCGGCAGCATGGACGTCGTGCGCCTCGTCGAAGAGCTGAAGGACAGCCTCGACGTCCACCTGCAGAACACGGACGTGTTCATGGCACCGGTATTCTCCGAATTCACGGCCACGGCGATCGTAGCGAAACGCGGCGGAGCTAGCGCCGCGCAGCAGGTCGGCTACGATGCCGTGGAGGTGCGCGTCAACAACATGGATCTGCGTTTCCCCAGGCAACTGTTCATCGACGGTCGCTTCGTCGACGGCCGGAGCAAGCCGATCCCGTCGATCAATCCGCACGACGAGAGCGTCATCTGTTGGGTGCAAAGCGCATCGGTGCAGGACGTCGACGACGCGGTGAAAGCCGCCAAGGTGGCCTTCGAGAAAGGCGAGTGGAGTAAGATCAGCGCTCGAGAACGCGGCGCGCTGCTGTTCAAGTGAGCATCGGAAAAGATTTGCTGCTGCCCCTCTCGAAAGAGCAAAAAAAACGCAATAACAATAAAGAAATAAAACGTAACGTTTCCAAATGAACCCCCGGCTCTCGCAGACTCGCCGACCTGATGGAAAAGCACAAGGAGGAGCTGGCCACCTTGGAGAGCTTGGACTCCGGCGCGGTCTACACTCTCGCGCTCAAGACCCACGTCGGCATGTCGATCGAAACGTGGCGCTACTTCGCCGGCTGGTGCGACAAGATCCAAGGCTCGACGGTGCCCATCTCGCACGCGCGGCCGAATCGCAACCTCACCATCACCCGCAAAGAGCCGATCGGCGTTTGCGGCCTGGTCACCCCCTGGAATTATCCGCTGATGATGCTGTCGTGGAAGATGGCCGCGTGTCTGGCTGCCGGCAACACCGTGGTGATGAAGCCGGCCCAGACGTCGCCGCTGACCGCGCTCAAGTTCGCCGAGCTCGCGGCCAAGGCCGGCATCCCAGCAGGTAACGGCGGCTGCTCGCCTCGGCTGGTCGACCGGCCGAGGCACGCGAGCCGACGGTTCTCGGTGCTCGCAGGCGTGATAAACATCGTGCCGGGCAGAGGCGCGGAAGCCGGAAACGCCATCGTCGGCCATCCGTCGGTGCGCAAGCTGGGATTCACCGGGTCCACGGAGATCGGCCAGACGATCATGAGGTCGTGCGCCGACAGCAACTTGAAGAAGGTCTCGCTGGAATTGGGCGGCAAGAGCCCGCTCGTCGTGTTCGAAGACGCCGACATGCAGCAGGCGGTCAGGCTGGCCATGAGCAGCGTGTTCTTCAACAAGGGAGAGAACTGCATCGCGGCAGGTACGTGCTCGTCGCGCTGCGGCTCTCCGTCCGTCGACCGATCGATCGATCGATCGTTTCAGGCCGGATCTTCGTCGAGGAGAGCATCCACGATGAGTTTCTCGATCGGGTGGTGGCCGAGACCAGAAAGATCACCATAGGCGACCCGCTGAATCGGGCCACCTCCCACGGCCCGCAGAATCACGAAGCTCACCTGGAGAAGCTGCTGGAATTCGTGCGCGAGGGACAGAGGGAAGGCGCGCGCCTGGTCTACGGTGGCAGAAGGCTGGAGAGGCCGGGCTACTACTTCGAGCCAACGATCTTCGCCGACGTGCGCGACGGGACTTTCTTGGCGACCGAGGAGTCCTTTGGCCCCATCATGATCGTCTCCAAGTTCAGCTCGAGGAACCTCGACGACGTTATCGCGCGAGCCAACGACACCGAGTACGGCCTGGCTTCCGGCGTCCTCACCAAGGATATCAGCAGGGCATTGAGGTTCGCCGAGAAGATTGACGCCGGCACCGTGTTTGTCAATACTTACAATAAGACCGACGTTGCCGCGCCGTTCGGTGGCTTTAAGAGATCTGGTTTCGGTAAAGATTTGGGACAGGAAGCGCTCAATGAGTACCTCAAGACCAAGACCATTACCATTGAGTACTAGCAAGGGCTTTCGAACAACCTTGCGAGCAGGTCAGATTGTATTAATGCAAGTTCTGCGGCAGCTGCGATGCTTGTTGTTTCAGTTGCAATCCGAATACTATGTATTTTTTCTTCGTTACATTTTATCATGGTTATATGAGATTTCTTCCAATTTATTTTTCAATCTTAATGGATAGCTTTTAGGGATACGTTGTAATGTTTGATTTGCTCACGCACATGTAATCTATGGAGATAACAAAAGAACCGTACTACGAAATTTTGTACATCGCGCACATTAGGCTAAGATGCTATTATGTATATTCATTCGCTTTTTATGAATCATCATTAGTTTGCGCGTTCTCTAAGTACATACGTAGCGATTTCATTAAAAGTTCGTGCACGTTTACTACTTGTACGCTGTGCTTTATTATTTACACACCATCCCACGCTCGACATTGAAGGCAGCGACAACGAAAGCAAATAAAAGTTTTTCTCTTGAATACCTTAGACCAGTCTTGAATATTCGGCCAGCGAGAGAGAGAGGGAGGAAAAGCACCCACACAGACATGAAAGAAAAATGCGAGAATGCATTTAGGGAGACAGAAAGCACACGTGCAGCACGTTTTTTTTTTTCCGATGCCACTCGACTTACACTAGAAACGAGTCCAGATGCCGCGCGAGAATTCCTTTTCCCCCTTTTTTTTTCAACTTGACTAATGAGTTTAGAGCTCGATGCTTTATCTTCTTTTTATCTTTTTTATTGTTTTTCGTTTTGTACGAATCCTCGCGAGTCTATTTTCAATGTCGAAATAATTAGAGTGGCATTTGTAAGCTGGATTTTCGTGCAAATGACCCGTGCAAATTTCGATGATAGATGCACTTTAGTCGGCCAACTCGTGAATGAAGAATTCTACGAAACATAATTAGCAAAAAAACCGACAACTTGAACCTCTGTTAACCGCGATTTACGATATACTCAGGCCGCGCAAAGAAAAAGAACATAAATGCCCAAATCATATCCGTACGTACAATCACAGGCTCCAGCTACGGCCAAAAAGCAGAGAGCAGATCTCGCGCCAATCGCGCGCCTCTCGTAATAATAAATACGTATGCCGTGGCATGTTTCGCGCGACTCCGGTCGTCGTCGTCGTCGTCGTCGTCGTCGTCGTCGTGTCGACTTAGCATATTTATCGCTGGCAGCTCGCCGTGCCGCTGAGCTCCTTGCGGAAAATGCAAATTCGATCGGTTGGCCCCTGGCGGCATGCGAGCCGCGCACGTGCGTTTCGCTTTCGGCCACTGTCCTTTGACCCCTTCGACGCGACGCGTCGGACGACGCGGCGGCCCGCCGCTGCTTTGCGACTTCTCTCTTCCTTGCTACGCTCGACGCGCCGTTCGCTCGGTGGAAGCATGGACGAACCTGTCGCGCTCGAGCGTACGGCAACAAGTTGCTCTTCGTTTGCGCGCCGCCGGTAAACGCCTCCGTCCTATCGTGAGCGATGCGTCGATGCTGCTCGAAGAAGAAAACAAAGGAAGAAAAAAAAACATGATTTCGGGTGGTCGCAGTGGGACAAAAAGTGGCGATGCATCGCAACCCTGGGCCGACTCTCACGAAAGGCGGCTTATACGGCAACGGAGCGCGCGCAGCTGTGTACGTAGCTGGGCGCAACTGTCGCTCTCTCGCGACAAAAGGGAAAAATCCGTTGCAGCGACGCGAGCCGATTCGAGGTGTAATAAACGGCCGAGAAAAATCATCTCGACCATACGCGCGCACTATCCTTGGCTCGGCCGTGACACGGGCGGCGCGAGGGAGTGCGCGTCGCAACAAAGAGAGCCCCGAGGAAGAAGAAGTAGAAGCCGAAAAACAAAAACAAAAAAAAAGAAGCAACAAGCAACACGTGTGAGAAAAAGGGAGGGAAGACGGCGCGCAGATGCACTCGCGAAAGCTCCCTCTCTTTCCGAACGCGGAGATTCGCGAGCGGGCGCAGGGAGAGAGAGAGAGAGGGGGGGGGGGAAGGCTCCGCGAGTCACCGCCGAGCGCCTGGAAATTCACGAGTCGCTCTCGAGACTTCAGCTCGCGAGGGTACGCAACGCTTGCTTCCTTCTTTATTTTTTCGTTCGAATGTTGGCGCGCTGCAGTTGGATTTTCTGTGTGAGTTTTTTTTTTTTAATTCTCCTGTGTTCGCGCGTTCTATGTTTTTTACGATGCCGAATCGAAGTACTAGAGACGTACGGGCCACTTTTTCTTTACTCGTTTCTATTGGTTCGTTCGAATCGTCGTTTGTAGTCGATATGTCACATTTCGAGGTGTACGTAGTGGTTTGAAACGTCCCAAACACTTCACAAATGACATTTGAGAAGAAAAAGTCCGTAATCTTGATCGCGAAATTCATGAATTTGATTTTGCCCGAGAAAAGGAAGCTACACCCTCGTTAGCGCAGCGTCTCCGAGCGACGCGACCGAAAGCAGCATCGTTGTGATCGCGAAAGTGCTCCGAAGAAATTATTCAAAACGTACAAGACATATGCACGCGCGGCCAAGCGCTTTCGATCGAAATTTCAAAGTGAGATTGAGATTAAGGCTTAATCGATGCAGTAGCCCGCATCGAGAAAAACAGACGCGAAGAGAAAGAGCGGAAACAAAAAAGCAGAAAAAAAAAAGAACGAGCGAAACGAGAAAAGCCAGAAACGCATCTCGGGGTTGCAGTTCGAAAAACCGGTCGACTGTTTGTGTGCACGCTGCATGGGAACCACGTGTTTGTCCCTTCCCGAGAAAAATATACTATGAGAGAAAATCTTGAAGGGGGGATATATATATATATATATATATATATATATATATATATATATATATATATATAACTGGAGAATAACGGGGTACCAATGGTCGTTGAAGTTCGTTATTTGGTAAATGTTTCTTTTCAAGTTTGTGAGAGAATCGAACGGGAGTTGACGGTTTTTTTGTAATAATTCATTTAAAGAATTTTCATTCGTATAATTACGGTTACTTATACAAAGCTATTGCAGAAAATAGATAGATACAATTTAGAGAAAACTGTGCTTGTCACGAAATAATAAGATCAAATTACTAGTTTCTATTGTTAAATTCGAATTCGTACTAAGATTTTTAAAAAATCTGTTTTTCTTAATTTGAAATGACTGTATTAAAGTTTTAATGTTAACATTTTACTTTCAATATAACTAATTTACTCGCGTCACGAGAACATTCATGGACGGTTGAATCGTTAAAACCCAGATAATTCAATCAAGCGCATTAGCCGTATAGAAATTTTTTAATTAGAATTGCAATTAAAAAATATATATAAAATGTTAATGAGGTTTGAACAGAAAGAATAACGGAAATGTGAGAATCAGCACAAAATATGATAAACGAAGGAGAAAAAAAGAGATATGAAAGAAAGAGGAAGTGCAACAATCAGTTTAACACCAACAGTTTGGAAACGGTTTGTTTAATCAAAACTCTCAGTTTGGTCAGTGCAGATACGATCGTCACTAGCTTATTGAAAAATATTTCATCCAGCTGCAGTTGACTAAGGTATTTAAAAATAAACTATTCTCTATGTAATTAACTAATAAACTAAGAAAACAATTTTTAGTTTTCTGTCTCGTAAGTTTTCATCAAATATCATTAGGAATATTTTTCACGGACATTGTAATCTACAAAAAAAATAAAATACCGTCCATCACATCTGTCCACATGAAAACTTATCGCTGTTGCTTTTCCCCATCAAATGTCATGTGAGCGTGCCCAGCCCCTTCCTGTTTTTCCGACTAATCTGGTTCTTCTTTTACTCTAACCGCTGCGATCTCTCGCATCCTGTGTGATGGGATAAAGAGTGGGAAATCTTTTTTTCGAATTTGTCGACGAGCTATCTACCGTCATTTCCCGCGTAGATAAGCATTCGTAAATAGAAATTTCTTTTATAGGCTTCGAAGGCTTTTTTTTTTACATAGAAAAATAAACGCAAACGTTAATCGTAATTGCTGACGATAGAAATTATCGATTGAGCCCGGATCTCATTATAGCAAGTTCGTTGCCCTATAAACGGTTTTTTTCTAATATGCCTAGAGTAAATGATATTGTATTAATGCATCACACAATCAAATGACCGTACTTAGCGATAAAAAAATTTAATTTAATTTAAAAAATTAATTAAAACGATCCTAAACATTTTCTTCAGTTGTGTAACTAATATTATTTATCTAAATGGACAAATAAAAATAATCATTTTCGTTTATGGAAATCTGAAAGCATTATTCATGCACTTAAAATAAATTATAAAATACAAAAAAGTATGTTTTAAAATAAACTAAAACATGGTAATTAACGTATAGAATAAATTAACACTTATTCTGATGAAAGATCTTGAAAGATTTTATTCCGTTTTTTTTCTCTTTTTCATTTTTCAATGCTACAGTAAAAATTTAAAATTTTGTTCATTATTTCACTATTAAACATTGAAAGATATAAACATCAAACTCGTAACAGAAGAGTTTCTGAAGTCTCGCTATGTACAAATTGATTTGTTTTATATCATTGCACTGCACTGAACACGCTGAAAATTAATTTCATTCTTTTCTTCTTCAAGGACGCCATCAACGCAAGATCAACGAATTTCTTCAAACGTCCTCACTGAACCATGAAAAATCGAGTCGAGAATGAGATAACACTGAATTTTCAATGAAAAGTTCAGAATGATCAGTATGGAGATTGTCATCGGACACAGAAATGAATTTGAACGCTTACGGTGCGGCTCGTCATAGGGCACCTTCGCTTGACTTTGAATTTGCAAGCTGCCCCCTGATGGGCATCGCCGTGAGCGTAACTGATCAACAATCCGAACGAGACAAAATATCTCTGTGGATTTTCGAACATATATTGTTAATGTGCATGTGAAATATATGTCAATTATTAGAATATATGTATAATTTTCTGTATCTTGTATAAATTAATTTAATAAATAGATGTACGCTATACATTTGTATGTGGTGACTACTCTTTTACGATGTAAGAATAATAATAATTAAAAAAAAAAACTAAAAAAATAAACTACCAATTATAATTAGTTTGTAATTGAACTTTATAAAATTTACCCATAACTAAGTATTACATTTATCTTTTATAAAACGTACTTCTCATTTAATCTACTCATAATCTTAACCAATGTATAATTCATGTAACAATTGTAATGTCTTCTTCATGTTTAGTCATAATTTATAACATCGGCATTCAAACATCCATTACATTATTAGAAATATATAGAGACTTCATAAGCAACTAACGCAAATAATAGAGCTCTTAACGTAGTCTCATACTTGAATTGGTAAAAAAGACTTATTCGATTTTTCGGCTAGCAACTTTTCTACTAACTCCATCATCAATGTTATTCACAATTTGCATACACAAGTATCGTCACGGTAACAGTTTCTGTAAAAGTATCTAACCGTCGCGATAATTATTATACGATGTAAATAAACAGAGAGCGAAAGAGATCGAAAAATTGATGTTCTAGGAAAAACTCAAGAAAACGAACGACTTCAGAGCCTTATAATATTTGGTATGTACAAGAACAATTTTTAACTCTCTCGCAATGGTAACCTAATCATATTTGCTATTACAAGCAAAAAATTTGATTTATTTTCTTTGAATCAATATAACGTTTACAAGTTGTTAACGATTAAAAATAACTTCAACGTGTTTAACGTGTGATTGGTTATTGCAAAAGATTTAAATGTCAACTAGGAACATATGATTCGGCTACCTTGTGTCTTCTTGGGTTATAATATTTGCTACGATTAAGCATGATGAGAAGATTCTTAAATTTCCTATTATAAAACACAATTGGACATCTGAAATACTTCATGGAAAGTTACATGCTTCATTGGAACTAAAATTATGTATATTAAAATTTTGAAAGTCCAATATTATGGTTCGTCGTCTAAATTAAAAAGTAAAAAAAAAAATGGAAACTTCTTAATTACTAAGAATTTTTATTACGTTATTACTGATAATACAAACTTATTACCATTGTATAGAATAGAAAAAAGTCGATTGAACTAAGATAAAAAAAAAAAGTTTAATTTTTTCTATGACACCATAAAATTGTAAATCTATAAAGTAAAATTATTCTACTTTGAACGAACGAAGTAATTTTCACGAACAAAATCAATTCCAGTTAAAATAGATTAACCCAGAAGTGGTAAAACTCAACATGTTTAATTTTATGTAAGTTGACTTGATAAAAATCTAACGACAGTGCAATAGTTGATTGATAAAAAATAAAATGTTGAAAGATCTTCGCCCGCCTACATTTCAGATGTCCAATGGGCTCTGGACGAACCAGCATGCTCGACTTTTAGCCCCTATCGTTCGGTATACACATTTTTGCACGACGCTATTTTTGCCCGATATGGCTAATTTCACCAACAGAAAATCGATATTTTTCAGATATACTTTTACGATGAAATTTCCATTATTTTTTTTCATTTTACAAAATTTTTCTGGCAATTGTACTATAGAATTCAATAGAATCAATATGGAAGCATTATGCTCCGGCTTGCTAAACAAATTTTACAGTTTCGTTTTATGTTTTGGGTAGCTTCGATGCGCGTCCCTGGCAAAGTTGGATGTTTTATCGCGCACAATTAATTTCCTAAAACTTTCGCTCGTTTGAAATTTCGCATATAGTTCCGGAACGATCGATATATCGTGTACACAACGTTAGCATACGATGCTTATTTCCGAATAACCGAGGCAGTGTTGCACGCATACAAATGTCACTTACAATTCTTATGTAAAAGTCAGTCTTACATTTCCTAAACAACGATATTAAAAAAAGAAAGAAAGGATTACGCGCGTCCTCGCATCGTATTAGGAATTCTTAAAGTTTTTTTATATTTCCATCTCTGAGTTGTTTTTTTTATTTGCACAGGTTTTGTCTTCGACGCTTCTCATGCGAGCAAAGGGCTAACTAACATTTTTGTATATTCTCTTACCTACAATTTTTTAAATATATATCTGTCTGCCATTTCCTACTAAGTAGGAAAATACATTGGTGTTATATAATCGATAACACGCTAACAAAAAATTACGTTCATTTACTTTTCCGTTTACTGACATTTATAGTTGAATAATCACAAGATTTTTCTCAGAATTACCAGAAAAAGATCGTATTATGGTACATTGAAGTATAGAACCATAGAAAATATATTTCAGCGACGACGAATAAATGTTTTTTTTAGCATGCTTTCATGAGTAGCTTATTTTACAAAGTTAGCGCAGTTTAAAACAAGTCTATAATTTTCTCATGACAATTACGCGGCGAAATGAAGTTGCACAGTTAGATTAGCTCTAGACGATGCTCGGTTGATATTCAAACATCAAAGACGCAAACATCGAACAAACAAAACAAGTATCAATCGACAAATACCCATATTATATTCTCATTCGCTGCTACGAATACATATTCATAACACGCGTAATCGTCGTTGATACTAAAAAAACGAAAGATGAAAAGATAGAGGGAGAAATAAGAAGGAAACAAAAGACAATTGAATAAAATTCAGCAACCGAGACGTACGCGCGTCCCTCACCAAAATTGGATAATGTTTTGAACTTATAGCAAGAAGGAAATAATGTACATCAACAATAGATAGAAACTCCTTAGCGCTTGCAAGAAGATATGCAAGGGTAAAATAGAAAAAAAAAAAAAACTTTGTCAATCTTCATCTCCTCTTCCTTACACATGGTATGTAATAATGAGTTTTGTTTTGTTTTTATGGTTGGATGATTAAAAAAAAAAAAAGAATTTCCTCTACTTGACGGACGGACGCAGACAGCTACGAGGATGTTGCCGAAACATTTGTCCTCTAAATATGATGGGGTAGATTCGACTCTCCTTCGCGCCACTCTGCTTTTGCCGGAACACATCGCCCCCACGCTCTTTGAATTTCTGCAAATGATTGAAACTCGTGTTAGCATTTCTGAACATCAAATGTAATGACCGGTTCGTATAAAAAATTATAAATAACATGTTAATCGGAAAGTTAAAATAAGGAGATACGCCAAATGATCGCATTAATTATTTAGGCGTCAAGACTATTTCGCGCTTTTCGCCAGTTATTCAAATAGAAACGACATTAATTAAGCGTGAATTGTTTGGCAAGGCAACTTTGCACACTTGGAATTATTCAAACTTCTCAATTCAATGCTTGTAAAAGGGATTTCGTTTAATATCAATGTCATAGAAGCACTTACAATCTCGCCATTTTCGAAAATGTGCGTAAAATTTGGCGTTGCGAATTGTGAAGATAGTATGAATGGTAAGAAAAGATACTCACGCATCTAAAAATTGGCGCCGAGCGAGGAAACAATCCGCTGCTTATGATCAGCGGCAACGCCCGTTGGAACCCGTCACCAGAAGTGCGGTTGCGCGTAGCCACCAGGTGCATTCGCGCCACCAGCCGTTCCAGCCGTCGCTCCGCTCATGCCGAGCGGATTGAAGCGATGTGGATGAAGTTTGTCCATGCGGACAGCTCCGGGACCGCCGCCGCCAAAACCATGATGGCCGCCAGCACCCGCACCACCGCCACGACCACCGAAACCACCGGCACCACGACCTGCCAGCATTGCTGCTGGTGGTCCACCTGCTGCTGGTGCACCGATACCTGCCATGCCAAGACCGGGAGGTACGAAACCGCCACGGCCACCTCGACCCATCACGGCGCCTCCTCCACCTGTAAATTCGACCTCGGACGTGCAAAAGTACCTTGTTTGCTATTTTCGACCGCGGGCTGGGGGAGAGTTGGGGAGAGAGAAACGTAATTGATTGGAATAGGTTTTGTAACTAGGATTAATTGCGGTGAGCTGGACATTTTCTTTGCAATACCAAGAAGAGTAATAAAATAAATCGATACCTAACCGATTGTTTCACCATGCAATTTTATTCACTGGTCGAGTCACAGTCATCTGTCTATAGTATTCATTTGTCAAATTATTTCTAATATTACACTTCGTTTCAACGCACAGCTAAGTCAAAGGTGAGAAGATTAAGTAAAGATAAGAGAGAAATAGTTTGAAGATTGGAAGAACTACATTGCAGATTATAATCACTTATTGCTAAATCTCTAGCTATACCATTAGATTTTTAAATAATTGAGGCACCTGAGATTGCCTCCTGCAATAATTATTAATGTAATGAACACTTCTCGGTTAGATTTTTAAAAGTTCAGGTAACGACGTGATACATATAAATATTTCTCTTCCATTAACGTTACATCATTGCTTCATATACTGATGGGAAGTGATATTAAATTCTCAACAAATCACAGATAAATATTTAACCTTTTTTTCGCGGACTAATTATTATTACACAGATTGCTTTGTTATTTAAAAACATCACGATGTACTTATTCTGGAAATATTTTGTTTGCGTGTAATCAATGTTTTATAATTCTATAAATCTGTATCGAAAAAGATTATTTCGACACCCCGTGCGCAAGTGCGTCTTTCCCGTACGCTCGGCAGAAAACGTGCGTTGAAAATCGCACTTTCCACACGTTGTATTAAAAAATACGGTACGGCACATGTTCGAGAAAGAGTTTCTCGTCTCGTGTATCTTTCCACGTAAACGTTACACGAGACGAGAATCGATTTTCCCGCACTTGTATCGTAATGTACTATTTCATATTACAGACTCTCAACAATTGTTTTTCTTTTCTTCTTTATATAAAGGACAGTTTTTTAAATCGCTTCTATTTTTCTAAATATTAACTCGAGGAAGTATTTTTAAAAATTAAATTCAGTATATTAACAATAATAGTGTAAGTACTATTTTTTATTTACTCGATGAATGAATTTATCCTTATTCCTTAGATTTTCAACTACGTACTGCATTTACAATGCAGCAATCTGAAAGTTAAAAAGTTCAACTTAAAAATTTCAAGAATCAAATTCTGACATGACTATTCTTTTACTCATTGGCGCTGGCATTTTTCTTTCGTAACTTGATATTTGGAAACTAAAATTACTTCTTTATCTAATCAATTAGAAAAATTGCATACCACTCGAACAAATAAGAAGATTCACAAACAAAAAACAGACGCTATTTGCCTGATTAAATGTCATGTTCAATTAATAGCAAAACGATGCGCCAGCGCTTTTTGTAGACTCCACAATGCCTCATTGACAAGCGAGACGTTCTCGACAAGACCTATATACTTTCTTTTTTTATTTTTTCATACTTTTTCACTTATTGATTATTGAAACCCGGGTAGTTTGGAAACTTTTTTCTGCCTGCGTACATGTATTCTCCTTCACAGTTTGGTAAGCATTGAACAGATCAAAGAAAAAAACGTACGTTAAATTTCTATTGTTTTCTTTTTTTAATTATTTGTACTACTTTAACGTAGAAAAAATTTTTTTAAGGTAGTCCTAACAATATTAAACATGTTTACTTTAAATTTATAAGCATTATGTTTTCTTTTTTTCTTCAAGTTCGGACAACCTTATATATTTGATAATAAAAAAGAGTAAATAAATTGAATAGTTGTTATAAAAACAAGCGAAGGATAATTACACACGAGCTGTATTCATAGAATTCTTTTTTATAACAGCCATAACGAGGGAGACAAAAATAGAATCGGCGGAAATATACACAGAGCCATGCATTTATCAATCAGCGAAGCGTAGATCGCATTATGCAGGGCACAGCCAATGGTGGTTAAAAATAGACGAAGAAGAAAGGTGAAATAACATAATTTATGTCAATTACCACAAATTTCAACTTTCCATATACGTTCGGAATAATTTACGTGTTTCGATTTCTATATTAAAACTAGCTTATTCAATGATTTACGAACTGATCTTGGAAAATCTCTCAGATTTACGTTCTAAATCCTATATTTATCACAATGCTCCTTAACAAAGACGAATAGGAATATGTAGTTTGAAATTAATGACGTATGTGGTGTTGGAACTGTGTATATATTTATTGTTTGCTTGTATTGGTGTTTCGTCCAAACTCAGTGATAAAAATTTGTAGTTTTTTAAATTTTGGTATGAAATTAAAGTTATATAGTTACCTGTCGATGCAAGTTAACATGGCAAAGCATTCCAAAAATTAATGTCGTATAAAAAATTAACAAAAAAGGGAAAAGGGAAAAGAAAAAAGAAAAAAGCGAAATAAAAAAGAAATTAAGTAAAAAGATAAAGTAAAATAAAAATTAAGCATTTTTGGATAAAATAAGCAAAAAGAAAAAAACAGTGTTGACGACAAAAGCTGAGATCTTGAAGGAAATCATAGGAAAGTGAAAATTGATAGCAATAAGAAAACTACACAGAATAGCTGTCGGTGCACTTATAAATGCACGTAGAAATTGTATTTTAGTTTCAAATACTATATTGTCTGTGTCACAAATTTAGGTTTACAAAAAACAGATAAAACATAAAGTGATACAACTGTGATCGGTCAGTTAGAGTAATACAGTCTGTCAAAAAATAAATTTTCGGTAATACGTGAGCTAAATTGATTTTCTATAACAAATATTTTGACATGGGCTCATTCTAAAAGTTTGATGTTATCTCAAACTTCCTACTAAAATAAAAAGAAAAATTATTTCCAAAATAATAAGAAAAAAAGGCGCATTTGAGTTAACAAAATTTCTAGGACAGACTGAAAAAAAAAATATTGAAAACTTGAAATGAGTTGAGTCGAGCTTATTGTTGTTTCGCTCGGATATTCAGTATTACACCGCACGGACTAAAACATTTTAAAGTTGACACCGCGCGGATAGAAACAATAATTGTTCATTATTATCTTTTTTTCTAACCTTATACGTTTCAGATTAACTGCACAATTATTAAGTAAATTAAATAAATAATCAGTTACAATGATTAAATAAATATGTGAAAAAATACGCGATAACAAAAAAAAATAACAAAAATTTAATTACTCGATATGTCATCCGTTCAAAATATACAATGATTGAGAGTCTAATACCGCACGCTCGATAAATAAAAAAAAATGTACAAAAACATTATAAGACACTACGTTTATACGATCTGGACTTGCATTGTCTCAATGCCAGATGTTCTGCAATGTCGACTTCGACGTTGAAGCAGCAGACTTATCTATTGTTGAAAGAAAAAATTCATAAAAAAAAAGATAAAAATTAGTTGTAGATTTTCAGGAAAAATTGAGATCAGGTTAGTTTTCAACAATTTCGTGTACAAAAAATGACTCACTACTCTTCCTGTGCGTTTTTTTGACATGTTGTCTTTTCTGGTCTCTCAACCTTAGATCTCCGAGCTGATCCTCGATCTTCGCTACGTTAATTTTCGTTTCTAATAGTGCTATAGTTTTTGTATTTTTTTTTTCAAATTCAGCAAGCAAAGCAAAAATGTTAATTTGGGATTCAGGAAGATGTAAAATTGGAAGTTCTCTTTTCATTTAATATCAGAGGAAGTCCCAATTGAATAACATTCAATACTTACATCTTTACATAATAACCCATTCGCGAATAAAGCTTAAATCAACTTCATTATTCAAGTTTCATTCATTGCGACTTCCCCGGCATAAAAGTATAAAAAACTAGACTAACTTAAAAAATATAAATATAAAAAATATTCAATAAGTATTATGAAAAATATATATCGTTTGAATGTTAAAATACTAAAAATTACTAAAACGTTTATAAAAGATCTAATTGAACGCTTCGTGCGCGAATTACATTGGCGAGATTTAAAGCATACTGTGCAATATAAAAACGAATTCATGTTCAGATTGAAATTTACTAGCCAAGTGTAAATTTAATGCGTTAAAATTCATAGTAAAAATTGAATTCTAAGGCCATTTAATGAAAGTTGAAAAATCTTACCACGGCTCTGATTGTAACCAGCTTGCCATCCAGCATAATAAGCTGCTTTTTGTTTGCCATGTTCTTCTGCAATTTTGACACTGAGAGGTTCAGAGCCGCCTTCCGGAATTGTCCCGTGCAGCTGATTTATTGCTTCTTGTGCTTCTTCTCGTTTGTCATACCTGTAAAAAGTATGATATAGTAGTCGCAACATTAATAACAATTGTTATTTAAAATTGTTATGCATAATGCAAAACTTAACGTAAGTTATAAATGTAGATAATCATATATTTAGGTCTAAAATAAACATATGTATAAAACGACATACAAAACCTATAGGAGTAAGCTATAAATTTTATATTTAAAACAGGTCACATCGGACAGCTAGGAAAAGGATAGAAATACACTCTGGCAACGAGCAAATGCGTAAATATAAGCGAAATGGTGCGACATTGTAGTTGCACAATATTTTCTTTATTTCTAGTAGCTAACATCTGCTATGATACAAACCGAAAGCATTCCAACTTTATGTTGTTTGTGAAAGATTAAATATTTATGTAAAGTTGTAACGAGTTTTTTTATAATTTACGTGTTATCATTTAATTGAACCAAGTGTACTTTACAGCACCTTATTTTATATCAAATAATTATTGATATTGAGTTTGGAAGTAACATTACCTGACAAAGGCAACTCCTCGTGGCAAGCCAGTCAGCTTGTCTTTGAGTATATTTTTCTGAACAATTTGGCCAAATTTACTGAAGATTTCATCAACCTGTTTTTCTGTAATATTCCTAGAAATTCAAATTCATTTAAGTCCTCAGCCCATTCTTTTAGTACAACTCATTGATTAAAAAATGTTTCATCAAGACTCAAAATTGATGCATAAAGTATTAATGTTTAAGATTGCAATGTTATAAAAGTATCTGTAATTTTTTAATTCGATGAGTTGCAAAATCTATTTAACAAATATTGTTATAAAAGTAGTTGAAAGCAAATTAACATACCTTGGCAGATTTGTGACATATAAGTTAGTTTCTTTGATTTCTTCACCAGAAGGTCGGGCAAAAGAAACTTTCAACCTCTTATTTTGAACTTGAAGGCCATTTAATCTAGTAATAGCAGTAGATGCATCTTCAGCTTTTGTATAGTTCACAAAACCAAAACCATAACTGTAGCCAGTCTAGAGATAATAAAAATTATAAAAATAAAGGAGGCATATAAATATGATTCCAATAAGATTCATTCTAATAACCTTATAATCTTTCATAACTCTACAAGACTCCACTGGACCAATTGTAACAAACAAACTGTAAAGCTCTTTCTCAGTCATATTTTGTGGAAGGTAGTTGATAATCAAATTTGTACGATCATCGTTGTAAGGCCTATGCTGTTGTTGCTGCGCCTGTTGCTGTTGCTGCTGTGGCTGTGGCTGTTGATCATTCATTTTGCTATCTTTCTGGATACTTGTCTTTTACAGGTTCGATGTTGTATGCCAAAGCTACTTCAGTCACAGCGTCTGATGAACTTACGAACTCCGACTGTTTCCATCGACAATTACCATCCGTATGGTCAGCAAATACAAAAAATATAAACAAATGCATTACTACTTCTTTCATGGGCGGATCCATGATTATCCAGGCAGCTTTTCTCTCTAGTTTTTGCTTTTATCAAACGAAATATCAAAAAAAATAAAATAGAAAATAAATGTGATAATAAAATATCGTGTTGCAGACCTGTTCATCAGAAACAAACAAACAAAAGTGCATAAGGACCAAGCTGTTCGTATGAATTATAATTGAAACGTTTTCATTGGTACAATTAAGCTATTCATGAGTTTTCACTCAATTTTCAATCATTCAAAGAATTAATGACTAAAAACGAAGATGACTAAATTGTACCAACGTGAAATAATGGATGAAATTTATCCAGTTACAATGAAAGATATGCAAGCAGTCAAATCTTTAGAGAGGAAATACTTGTAAGATTTACTGGCAACAATATTATTATTAGCACTTGAATCTCCAACACCTGATCCCAATTAATAAGCCTCTCAAGTGGTCTCTCCAAAACGATTTGACCATCTCGCGCACATATTCGTCTAAGTCTAATGTACAAAACTACTTTAACCTTAATTGCGGAATCATTCAACACTATATAGTAATACATACGAATAATATGCATTCAAAAATAAACAAGAATGAAAGTCATTACACGCGAGTATGTCTTTGTGAAAAACTTCAAGAGAAAAAGTGTACTAAAGAGAGAGAGAAAAAAAGAAGCGAGAGAAATGACGAAATACCTACGAGAAAAAAAGCAACGAGCGACGAAAGATAAACAAAAGCGGCCTCTCGACGTGACGGGACAGCTCGTTGTCGTCGTCGTCGTTGTCGTCGTCGTCGTCGTGTCTCTCACACAAAAATCGCAATGATAGGGAGAGTGTCAAAGAACTTGTGGAAGTGAATGAAAGTAAGCCGCGCGGGCATGCCTGTAAATAAAAACAAGTGTCTCTCTTAAAGAAGGTCGACGCGCGTGTATTACAAGAAATCTTATTTTCAAAAGGGCGAATGTTGCAAAGCAACATTAAGAATGGAATAGAGGGAATCAAGTTGTCCGAGTAAATGCAATTCTTGCCAGTTGGAGGAAGGCCTATTATTTGATTTTGTTAATTGGCTCGAGTGGAAGCAAGTCGTGCGCGGCTAAGTATATCGAGGAACGTATACACACACATGCACATTGTTCTAAGGTATTTGATTAATGGTCCAATCTATAAACGTACCGCTCCGAATTCAAAAACATTTAAACTACTTTAACACCTAGTTTGTAGCTTCTCTTCTTTGCAGTTGTCTTTTGTTTGCGAAAAAAAAAACTTAAAGAGAAATAGCTGAATAAAAGTAATAAAAAATTTATTTTTAGATTATCTACTCGAATTATAGACTAACACTTGAAAACAATTGAATGAAATTGCTGGTTGAATTCTATGAAACAAACTAGATTTTATATAGTATGACTTTTATCGATTCGCGTTGAAAAAAACTATTTTAAACGCGAGTAAAAGGATAAAAAGCTGAAGTTGCAAACTTCTGTCAAGTTATCGTTGCGGGAAAAACTAGAACGGATAAATTTTAAATCACTTCCATCGTTGTAGCACCGATGGTGAAGCCCCTCAAAAAAACTAAGCTCAATAAACGCTCAAAGTCGCTTTTCAATATATCTATATATACATACACGGTAGCAAAATCGGCTTTGGTGTTATCTATAAAAATGCTTGCAAAAACACGATGCTTGCATACCGTACAGGAATCGAGAGCGAGAGAGGAAGGGAGAGAGAGAGAGAGAGAGAACAAGAGAGAACAAATTAAGCGAGTGCACGCTTGACTCTCTCACGTCACGCGCCGTCCCACATTGCAGAGAGCTATGCGCACAGAGTGCTTGCTATACACATAATTGTATATGCATGTATATGTGTGAGAAAATCGCAGTAGCCACAGCAGTAGCACGAAAAAGATAGGCTATGTTACATAAGTGCAGCAATGTAGAGAATGAGGAGAGCACACTCATTGGTGTGGGTGCACGCATCTATATACCACGTATCTGAGTAATCTAAACGCTTTGCCGCCGGGACGCTTTGGGTGTGTGTGTGTGTGCGTGTGTGTGTGTGTATCTGTCTGTCTCTCTCTATCTGTCTCGCACACATCTTTTGTACGTTCCAACCTCTCGAACATATAGAAACACTTACGCTCGCGCACGATAAAGAAGACACAGACACACAGTTGTCGACGATGAAATTGAGCACAGCAGTACACAAGAGATATGAATGGCGTTCGCGAAAACAAAAAAAATCACACGACGCAGCACACAACTAAGACAGCACGCAGAGTGGAAAAACTATACCTGAGTCAAACTACGTACACACGACGAGTAGCTGCTACTAGCTGACGAGACGAGCACCAGTAACGGAATGCAACGAGCGCGCGCAAAGCGGCTCCTTCCCTCTCTTCGCTGTCCACCAACACGCGAGAACCAAACTATACTGTACAGTGTACACTTTCCCCGATACATCTCACCACCGATGACTTCCCAAGCAGGAAAAACTGACCTGCCTCGAAGACGCGCTAAACGAGCGACGCGTAGCGGTGAAAAGCTCAAATTAACTACAATTCTGGCGGTTTGTTTGGATATTTTTAGTAGGAGGGGAGCGCGAAATTTGTACGAGTTCAGGCTTGATTAATGTTTTGATTGTTTGATGACTTCGACGAACTTTTATCTTCCAGATATAAACATCTATATGTGATCGGAAATTTATTTTGTTTTTTATATCGATGAAATACCAGCGTTGGTGTATCGAATAAAAAGATTCTTGATAAATATAAGCACAAAAACTTCTATTATTAAATTAAGCTATCTTAAAACATTTTCTTCTTATTACTATTCGTACCTAAAAATGAGGTGTCACCTTGAATGTCACGTAGAAAAATTTCTGTATTTTCAACTTTTACTTCGATATTTCAATTACATTATCGCATAATTACACAAAACTAAAAAATAAACTTAATCAGAATACGACTGCTTTACGTGAAGGAAAAATATGGAATATTATTTACGGAAAACTTCAGTTATTTATATGCTCTAACGATGAAAAAAATTAGTTTTGTAAACAAACGATTTTCATGTGTGTTAGTTCTTTTGTTTCTCGCTATTCCTTATGTTTCAGTAATCACCACATGACTAAAAAAAGATTTCATAAACTTTCTTTTTTTTCAGTATTGATAATTTTTAAGAAAGAAAACTATTTTTTTATGGAATAATGCATACAATTATACGTAATAATCGTTAATAGCGTCATTACTTAACAAACTAATTTATTTCGGGCATCAATGCTACAAGATAAGGGCTCTTTAGTTTTTTCTTGAAAGGGTTATAAGCAACCGAAGAAACGTTTAATTTTTTTTTAATAAAAAAATGTGTTAATAATTCAATATCAATAACGTATCCTCGTTTTTTCTATCGTCGATGTAGACCAAACGGTACCGGTAGCCAGTTTGAAAATATATAAAAATAAGCAACCAAAATAAAAAGAATTCAAAAAAGATTTCTTAAATTTCCTATTATCTTTCATTATTCTATGTAACTCAAATGGACCAATAATAGTAAAAAACATTCTTTCTCAGTCATACTATCTGGAATATAGTTGTTAAACAAAGTACGACCATCAAATAGTAATTAATTTTATACTTTTGCTATTGTTAAATCATCCTGTTTTATTTTTGGATACTTCTGTTAAGAATTTATAATAAAATATATAAAATTCTTTTATAAAAGAATTTATAAAACGTTTCGATGTAACCGAGGACAATGACTTTTTCTATGGTCAACAAATACGAAAATTATAATCAAATTCTGTACCTTGTTATATAACGAAAGATAAAGAACGGTCTTCAAACGTTGCATCTGGTCATCGTTTCACACAAGAGTTGTAATAACGAGGAGGTGCATTAGTGGTAACAAGAGTTATTTGAAAGGAAGTAAATTGCGTCTAAGTGAGAAAGAACGTACATGATTTTAAAGAATTTGATGGTTGGTCTAATCACAATAGGAGGCTAAAAATTAGAAAAAACTTTATATTACAAAGTAATGTATTTAAAGCATTTATACCAATACACGCTAGAGTTAAGCTATACATAAACATAAAAGTAGTAAAGGCAATTTTCGCAGAAAAGGCGCACTGGTCGCATAAAAAGCTGAAATATCTTAGAAATTTTATTAAAAAATCACTTATACACTATCTCCGTAATTTATTATATTAAATTTTCAGATCCACTGCGACATTCAAGTTCGCGCGCTATTCAACATCTTTTTAAAATATGTTTATTATTGATATGAGATTATTTTGATTCGTATATGGCTATATTCAAGTTCATAAAAAAATACAAAATAGGATATTTAAAAAAAATCACTAGGTTACTTCAAGTACAACACAATTTTTCAAGAAAAATACGGGAAGACGTATGTAATATAAAGCAATACGAATTTTACGTATACCCCAAGAACAAAATAATAGTAATAATAATAATAAATAATTACAGTCCCATTATGATTTTAAAAGATAACTGTAAGACGATTACACGAAATAAATACAATTTTGCTATTTTCTGCTGAAATTCGTATAGCAAGAAACATATTATTTTTATATGAAACGGTTTCGTAATTACTTAATAAATACTCTGTTTTATCGAACAAAAACTGTTACACTTTACTGAAAATATCTATACTCGTACAGATTAAGTTTTCGCCTATCTTAACGCGCAGAACCCATTGACTTTAGGAATACGAAAAAGCCGGTGACGTTTATTCTCTAGACACAAATCTTGAGAGGTGTTACTCGCCGGAGATGCGATCTCGTTCTCTTTGTTCCAAGCATAACGTGGTGACTCGATGCCAAACGGACTGTACAGCTTCGTGGGTGTCCGTCCAAGTAAATTTCTTGATTTCGATTGAGGTGTTTGTGATTTACAAGCACTGTTTATGGGTGACTGCTGCTCTTCGAGACGTTGACGTCGGCGGGTCGAGCTTTTGAATTTCTAAACATAGAAACAGAGAGACAATGGTCAATTGTGATTAAGTATGCCTGTATGTGATGGGTGGTTTATTTTAAGTGTTAACTCGTTAAGTTTTATGCGCGTCAAGACATTTGGCAACTGACACGAATGTTTATTATAAAGTACTAAGATTTTGATGGAGTGTATGCCAATGGTTTTGAATTATTAAGCTTTTATGCTCACTTTCCTTATTTATGTGAATCATGAAAGTGAATTTCTCCAGATTGCAAGCAGCTACTTAATAAAGTAACTGTCAAGCAATCATAATTTTCATCATGTTTTAAATAATATTAAATATAAGTATAATTTTGATAAGGATTGACAAATATTATCAAAAATAAATATCATCAAAAGTAAATACAAGAAACTAATAAATTACACGTACTTGTGACACAGAGCCAAAAGCTGTTCTAACCGATGAAATGGTTTTAGAGATCTTGTCAGCGCCATTTCGTAAAACTCTCTTAGAGTCTGTGGAAACCTGTCCCAGACTAAGATTATGCCATGGTCTTTCTACAATGTCTTTGTCCTTTGGTCCATCCATTGGATCCTTTTCAAATTTATACTGTAGTTTGCGCCTGATGTTTTTCTGGGATCGATTGTCCTCCGAGGTGCTTCTTGTATTGCTGGTGTCACGATGAAAGATAAAGGATACACTTCTTGAATCAGGTGGCATTTTGTTAATTATGCTTATCTGTCCCTAAATTTGAAAAATAGGATCAATTTTATGAAATACTGAATTATTAACTAAATTATTTGTCAAATAGTTATTTGTTGCAATATATATAGGGAAATTTTAAGCACAGTTTAGATTAAAGTAATGGATTTGAGATGAATATTTTACATTATTAAATTAAATTAAACGATAAAGTAAGCATAAGTAAGAATAAAAGTATACAAATTTCCAGATTTCCCCTATTGCATTTCAACATACACGTCACGATTGAATGTTATGACGTGTACATAAGGATTCGAAATAAAAAAAATCCTAACAGTCACAGGTATTTAAATGAAACTATTTACAAACAAACGTAAATCGATGAATGGAAGCTCGTCGAATATATACAACAGGATGCTACCTGCAAAAGTCAACGACTCCTTAAGACAGCTGCTTCCAAGACGACCCCGTTAAAGAGCTATATACAATCACTTCTGCACAAGAATCTTCGATTTAACCCGCATTCCATCCCGAGATATTCGATACTTTCATGAATTCTTCTAAAAAATCCGTTACAACATTTTTCAACTCTCCCAGTTTTGACAAAAAAGATATTTCAACTCACCTCGGGAGTGTGAAAATCAAAAGAGATTCTTATTAACAATCAAGGCCCAGGATATGCACTCTACTGCCAACAGATGCAACTCTCTCTCTTTTTCTCTCTCTCTCTCCCTTTTTCTCTCTACTCGCGCTCGCGAAGGCCAACGGCTACACACCTGCGCGACCGGTACGCCGTTTCGCTCGAATTCAAACGCCGCCAACGACTTTCTCCCGCACAAGCTTCACTTTTACTCTACGGGTTGTCCAGAAGAGAGAAAGGTCGAAAGAGCTTCAAGGTTACTATATACCTTTCTTTTTTCAAAAAATCTTCCTTGCCTGAAGTCGCGAATGACGCTCAGACTTTCAACGTACCTACTCGTGCGCCGGCAACGAGTCGCTGATTGATGATTTCTTTTGTGTTTGGACCGCCAGCGCTGTGCTTGTGACGTCACTACGGCCGTTATTACTTTGTTGCCGCATCTCTATCTTGCTCTCACAGTCGCATTCGCATTTATGCACGAGGATTGTTCGACAAGTCCGTGACATTGAAATGAAAAGCACCATTTCTTTAAATAACTCCAAATTCCAATTTATTTATTAACATTTATCAATAGCCCTTTTAACTCTATACATTTATTATACCGGTGTTTGAGCTGTTTTATGCCCCCTGTAAAATAATTTTTATCGAACTCCTCAAAATGGTCATTTGTCGCAGTAGTGACTTCTTCGTCCAATGAAAAATCTTTACCCACGAATCAAGTTTGAGAACTTGTTTAGAAATTAGAAAATAAAAAATAATCCGAATAGGCTAAATCTTAAGAATAAGGTGGATGAGGAAGTATTTCGTAACGTAATTCTAATAATTTGGCGGTTGTAATAGAACTCGTGTGAGTTGGTGTATTGTGGTAGAAAAGAATTGTTTTTTCACCAGATCAAGCCGCTTTTATTTCTGTATAGCATTAAATCTATCTATAATAATAATTAAGACATAACATTCTCCTGATAGTTTTTCCCGTCTGTAGGTAATCGATTAATATATTATACCAGTTAAGCCCTAAAAGATATGACTTTGCAGCTTATCCGCAATCTTTATGCCTAAACAATCCAAACATGCATGTAATATATTTGACCGCTTTGGTAGGTTTGATGTTAATAAGCACGTGAAACTGGTTTTTTTCCATGATTTTTTACACACAATGAAAAACTAAATTCAAATAGTTGTAAAAAATTTCTAAATCAATGTACTCACTTTCTATACGAACTCACACTAGATCGGACTCTTAGAGCATACATTGCCTCAAAATAACACTATCTTCTGAGAAATGGACTTATTGAACGGTCCTCGTATAAAATTTAATTATTATAAGCGAATACGAGAACTCTCACATAATCATTAAGCTCATGCAACCATATAAGACGCTACTTTAGTGGCGTCCTATGATCTTGTTGAATATATGTAAGTTAGATATTTGAGTTATCAAATATTATATCACTAGTAATCACTATGCGCACTGCGTGTGCTAAACACTTGTCAAATTGTAAAAAGTATGTAAATGATTTTCAATCCTCGTGCCAAATCATTACGTCTATAACCTCTATCTCCAACATACCAACCGTAATCAATTATATAGAGGCTTCACTTAATCACTTATCACTATTTTTTGTAGTAAGGAAAGAAAGAAAGAAAGATTATCATTCTCCTTTTTAGTAATGAAAGTGAAGAGTTGTAATTTACTAGACTACGTCTAAGTTGACACAAAAAGCTAACTTTCTTCTACATAAAGGGTTGGCTCTCACAATTTGTTACTATATATAAGGAACGGAAAATGAATGTTGTAGTACGATAAAACTTTATATTAATAGTACAATAATGAAGAAAATTACTAATTACTGAGAAAAATGAAGAACTTTTATTGATTCTTATGAAACGCTGGTTTAATGATTCTTTTAAATAATTTTTCCGATATATTTCGAAATCAATTCATCGATCGTTTCAACTGCTTAGTGAAATAATGGGTGCTAATTCAATTTTTATTAATTCATTAGAATTTTAAAGTTGGTATATGAACAGTTAATAAATATGTTATAAATAATAGAAAAAGATTTCCAAAGAAAAACGCGAGGAACGCGCTTAATAACACTAGTCAGATTACAAAATTGCTGTGTACATTTAACTGTTATTATTGCAAAATGGTAGAAAAATTATATAAATTATATGATTATATGTAATCTATATAATATAATATATAATCAAAATTTCATAAAACAGTATACCTTAGGCATGTTAATAACTTTCAATATTTTGCAATTCAACAAAACTGTAATAATGATAGTTAAGTTAAAAATTTTCGGAAGCCCTAGTTTGGTTATTAATTTTTTTTAATTAAAAAATTGACAACATGACGCCTAAGTCACATGACAGCACAGGTTATTTCTAACCTCACTGTTAGTAATCAACTTTAATATTCGAAATGTGTAGTCTAACGTCCTAGTTGACAAAGTGTTTATAACAAATTAACAAGTGATAAATAAAACGATTGATAATGGTTTTATAAGAGCAAAAATAGCTGTGATATAGTTTTCTAAGTTTACTGGAAGTCAAAATGCGTCAACATACATTAAAAGCCGAATAAGACAAATGTTTACGTGAAACCAATAATTAGTGACAATTGGTATGTTAGAAAAAGTAATTTTTAATCCATCTACATGCTTGTAGTTTAGATATTCATTCAGATTTCAAGGACATTTTTAATAGAAAAATTATTCAAAACTTTTAGGCACAAGAGTTTCAAAAATGACTTATAACAAGAAAGTATCTTACTTTTATAACCCTGATGTTGGGAATTTCCATTATGGGCCAGGTCATCCTATGAAACCCCACAGACTGTCAGTCATTCACAGTTTGGTTTTGAACTATGGACTGCACAAGAAAATGCAAATTTACAGGCCCTACAGAGCAAGTACACATGATATGTGTCGCTTTCACTCAGAAGAGTATGTTGAGTTTTTACAAAGGGTCACACCTCAAAATCTTCAGGGTTATACAAAATACTTATCAAATTTTAATGTTGGTGATGATTGTCCAGTCTTCGAAGGCTTGTTTGACTTCTGTTCCATGTATACTGGAGCATCATTAGAAGGTAATTTATTTAATAACCTATAACATACTTTGTAAGTTATATGTGAATTGATAAAAATTGTTGAATCGATAAAAATGGTCAAGTAAGATCCTTGTAAGCAAATATATTAAGAATTTGGTACAAATGCCATGAATCTGTAACACAAATACTTTCAGGTGCAACTAAACTGAACAACAGAAACTGTGACATAGCAATTAACTGGAGCGGCGGCCTTCATCACGCGAAGAAGTTTGAAGCCTCAGGTTTCTGTTACATCAATGACATCGTGATTGCGATCCTTGAGCTGCTCAAGTATCACGCACGAGTATTGTACATAGACATCGACGTTCACCACGGTGACGGTGTACAAGAGGCCTTCTACTTAACTGACCGCGTAATGACGGTGTCGTTCCACAAGTACGGCAATTATTTTTTCCCGGGTACGGGTGACATGTACGAGGTGGGTGCCGACGGCGGTAGATACTATTCGGTAAACGTACCCTTGAAAGAGGGTATCGATGACGCTTCCTACATGCAAGTTTTCAAACCTACCATCTCCCACGTAATGGAATTTTTCCGACCTACCGCTATCGTTCTTCAATGTGGTGCTGACTCTTTAGCCAACGATCGTTTGGGTTGCTTCAGCTTGAGTACCAAAGGTCACGGTGAGTGCGTGAGATACGTGAGAGATCTTAATGTACCGCTACTGACGGTCGGCGGAGGTGGTTATACCTTGAGGAACGTGGCCAGATGCTGGACTTACGAGACTTCACTGTTGGTCGATGAGCAGATTAGTAACGAGCTTCCACTTACCGAGTACATTGAGTACTTCGGTCCTGACTTTACTCTCCATCCAGAAGTGGTCACGCGTCAAGATAATGCCAACAGTAAGCAGTACCTTGAGGCTATCACCAAGCACGTCTACGACAACCTAAAGATGGTTCAACACTCACCTAGTGTACAAATGCAGGATGTACCCTGCGATGCTTTGCCACCTGAGGAAGATAGACAGCCCGAACCTGATCCTGATTCCAGACAGAATCAACAGGATTTGGATAAAATCGTCGAACCGCCTAATGAGTATTATGCAGGGGATAAGGATCAGGATAAGATGGACACTGGAGACTCGTAATTTTGTCAATGTGCGCATGTACAGTATATCTATATTATCATCGCTTATCATGCTTGATGCGATTGTTATAGATAAAAAAAGTACTTTGCTTTTTAGAAGTATAATTTACATATTTGCTTTGAGTGATATTCTGAATTTTATTTTTTTGCAAATGTTTTTATAACATGTAAAAACGAACACTTCCATAGTGTAAATAAGTGTATGATATTCCAGTATGAAAAATATATAGGGATATTAAGAGTTATCACGTAATTGATTTTTAACAATTTTTTGGATGTTTATATGAAGCAAATTAATATTTGAAATAACATTTTTTTATTATTCAGTAGTGACTTAAGCATATAGATGTGTCCAAAAATTAATGATTGTTAAAAATATAGCAAATAAATCTAAAAACATAAAAAATAATTTACATCCTTTTATTCTATTGTGAAAATAAAAAAATTAATGTGCAAGAAACATAATTTTAATTTAATTGATGAATTGTATATAGGAAAAACAGTGACCTTGGAATAAATAAAGATTTATATACATTCTATTACAGCTTTAATTCATTGTCAAATTCACATTTCGCACATATATCTTTCAAGAATATTTATATGAAAATACAGATATATGAAAGCGCATTTTTAGCGTACTCTCGCCTTAATAGCAAAATATGTAAGAGATTAATTATAGAGAAACGTACTTTTGGACGTCATTGTTAAGTAGTAAAAATGTTTATTGACGACTTTCATAAAAAGTTTCTGGACGATATAAAATATTTCTATTCGAATAGTCTTATTCATATTTTATTTATTTATGTTTTGTTACTATAACGGACAGATGTGTATATAAAAAACAGCACCTTAAAATGTTTTCAAAAACAAATCAATAAAATTTTTAACAATTTTCTGCATTATTACAATAAAAAGTTGTAGAGAATTCTTATTTTACAGCAAGTTTCATAAAAACGATTCTTCTTGTTCAAACATAATAATGTTCTAGCGTGAAAATTGCTATTCATTGATATAAATGAAATTTTGAATAATTAAGGCGACAGTCTCCCTAGGAAATTAAAACAATTTTTAAAAAGCAGAACGACAATAATATAACATTACAATGTCACGTTATCAATTAGGAATAATAAAGTTTCGTAAAGTTTTTTTCGTAAATAATTGAGAGCATGATGAACCTTTTTTAATTTCTACGCCGCCAGGGCGAAGCTGCAACAAGATGTGAGAGATGCTAAACGCACGTATAGTGTGAGTGAAAAATTAATCAATGCGAATAATAATCATAAACGCGTGTGTATCTCTGCTTCTGGGACTATCATTGCTATATCACAGAGAACTTAGCTTAAGCCGCTGCTTCCATTTTTTTCATCTTATTTAGTTATCGATACAATAAATTAGGATTTTCTTATAGTTAAATGCGCTCTCCCTCACTATCACGCAGGTAGTCCTTTTTCGCCTGTACAAATTTTATAGTGTATGCGTATGAGACTTAAGTAAAGAAAAAAATAACACTTCGAAAAAATATATAATACAAGTAATAATAAAAAAATACTTATGGTATGTTGACATACATGCGACACTTTTTCACAACTCTTCGTTATATCAATTCACTTGCTAGCGGTTAATTCTAGGTTCGGCAATTTTATAAAAAGAGCATCTATATATAATATAATATACGTGACTCACAAACTATGCCTAATCGCTTAGTTGTATTCATGTAATTTGTTCACATGCGATGCAATTACTTTCAACTTCACAACATTTATATATATAAAAACATATACTGTACGAATATTTTTTTTCAGTCTCATAATGTTAATTGAAGGAATCATACGTCGCCACGCCCTGCATTCACGTTCGTAATTATTATCAAGCGTCAAATGAAGTATCTCTGCAAAATAATATAAAAAATAGGGGTGGGCTCGCGATTCGATCTTTTTTACTTGTATTTCTAGTATCTCCGACGAAAACATGATGCAAGCCCGGTTGCGTATCGATCTGCGAAAACAATCGTTACATAGTACTTTTTTTTCATTATTTTTTTCGAGGACTTGAGGAAGCTGCTTTTCATTTCATAACGCAGAAGTAAGAAAATATCTTTCCCCTGGTATTCAGTTGACTAGATGATGTTGCTTTTCCTCGTTGTCAAGTATGTTACAACAAAACAAAGAAAGAGAAGTATAGTAACAATACATAGCGAGCTTTGCAAGTATTATTTATCTTCATTAATCAACGGCTGTTCTTCATTCAGGTCTCGAAGTGCTTGTAGATACTCGTCACGTAGGTCATGACCTGCTGCCAGTCGGGTCGCTCAAGCTGACACATATCGTTAATATTCTGCAGAAGATGAATCATTAATTATTCATTAGTTTTATCCATATCTTAAAAATTTACTACCATAGATCACAGTTTATTTGTTACATAAAAAATAATGAAGCAAATAAATTCATCGAAGTAAAAATACTTTAACAAATATTAAAACCGTGAATTTCATACTAGCTTAAATCTGAACATGATAAATTAATATTTCGATAGCAAAATTTTCATTGTATTCTCACCAAAGTAGTTGATATGCCAACACTTTCAGCAGCTGAGAAAGCCAGTGAGAAATTTCTTCTCTTCTCGTTAGGCGTGAGCGAATCATAAGGAATCTTATCTGGCAGATAAGTATGCATGATGGCACAGAGCGCGAGACCGTCGTTCCACGAGCTGCTGAAGTTAGTGATGTCGATATTTCGGTAGCCAATGGTTTTATTCTGGCACCACTTAAGTAGTGCGTTACGCCTAGAACCACCATTCTTAACGAGACCACAGAGAGGATCTTTACGATCAGACAAATCTGTCACACTACTGCGTCTTACGAAGTCGATAGTTTTGGCATTCAAGGCTGTTGCGTCAAGTAATTGACCAGAAGTCAAGACACTCGGTACTTTATCTTTTGTTTCTGCAAGTTGATAAAAGTCAATTCACGTGACTGGCGACTATAATGATTATTACTTATATTTCAATTGTACATGGACTGCGATTGTGTTTACCTGCAATGAATGGTTTTTTAGTGTTTGTAGACTGAGTTTTATTATTGTTGTTTGTTGTGTTTGTTGTGCAAATGAGATTATTAATCTGTTGATCTCGGAGCGGAGCTTTCAGAGATATCACTTCATTTGCACCAATTGAATTGAGTGATGACGTAGAGCTGCTACGACTTCCAGGGCCTACCAAAGAACATATTGTTTTTAATAACAAAAGCAGAAGCAGAAAGTAATTTAAGCATTTGATTGATATCGAACCAGCTTTAGCCTGTTTTGTAGCGTTTTCGATGCTCTCGATTAAACATTTGACGGACAGTCTTGAATCTTGTCGTGTGATATTTGCTTTACGTCGAGCTGCCATTTCGTTTTGTACACTCGTGATGACGGATTGCTGAGTTTCAGTCGGCGTCGTCGCTATCCTTGGCGTTGGAGGCGTATTCTTTTGCGTTGCTGAAATTAAAATGTACACTTTAGTTTTGATGTTTTAAAAAAGGATTTTGTTCTTTTAATGCCAAGCAAAAAGCAAAAAAATCTTGTATAAATCTCACACAAGATTGTAAGATATATGTTTTAGCTTTGTAGAAAGGTAAAATGTTATTTTGCAAGTTTGAAATTCATTTAGGATTTTTCATTTTTACAATGTTGGTAAAAAAAAATCAAACGATTTAAGTAAGTCGAAGGAAAGTTCACAGTGAAAAATTTACGTTCTTTTTAAAAGAAAAGATAATATGAAATTAATTATTTTCTGTACATGTTGGAGGATAATTACACACACAATGCCAAATACCAAAGTAACACAGAAAAAGCAATCCCACAATTTTGCTAGAATACAATATCCCCGCGTTTTTTTTTGTACAAAACAAGCGGTCTGAAAAAATCGGTTCGCAAAAAAGGCCATTAGCAATAACTCACTCAAGGATTCGCACACTTATATTGTTTAAGATTAATAATAGAAAAAGTTTGAGAAAATGTAACAGTAGGGTATGCACACAAATATGATGTATCACTTCACTATATCAGAGGGACACAAGAGTAGAGATATATGACACACAAAAGCTCGAGTTTTTTCAAGGTTCATTTGGAAGCACAGACAATCACGAGTTCTCCAGGCTGCAATTGGAGCTTTTTTAAATTTTTGTGTTTTTTTTCATCTACTTGGATGTTTGTTTTGTTTTGTTTTGTTTTTTTTTTGTGTTAGCGACTTACAACCAATCAAACGTCGTGGCATGGGTTTCGGTTTGATACTGACGACATCGTCGAAATTGCCAGCATAACGGTGACGATTGTTTAGCCTCATGGACGTAGAGTCCTCTTTGAATCTTAGCGAGGGCAAGTCTTCGAATTTCTGACACATCGCTGGCACCAATGTGGGCGTCGTCGGGAACCTCGTCGTCGCGCTCGACGTCATATCCATGGAGTTGCGCGCGGCGGCGAACGTGTGCCTATGTGTAGATTTTTTGTTGCTTTAAAATCGACTTTCTCATTTTATTTGAAGATTGTTAATGTTAGAGATAAATTATGAATAGAAGAAATTAAGTGATGATAAAAAAGGGGAGATTAATATTACGTGATTGTAAAATAGATCTTCAAATAAAATTATAGAAAATCGACAGAAAGGAACTAAATACCTGTTATAAGATATATTAGCCGGGTGAGTTTCATGTATTGAGTTTCTAAGGAAATTCGATCTCGACGATTGGAGACCTTCTGTTAGAGGCCTCTTGATTTTGTTCGGCGTTACGTCTTTCGTGTCGGATTCGATTTTTAATGGCCTTCTCAATACGACATCGATGTGAGTACTTTTGAATGTCTTATCCTCGTTAACTAATTCGTTCTTTGCAACTCTATTATTTCGCAATGTTCTTCTCAATTTGACCGTACTAAAATCTTGCTCGTCGATAATCGTGTCGACGTCTAATTTTTGCACTTTGGGCAAGCTCAACTTAGGCTCTAATTTTGTGACAAAGTTATTCAAATTGTTATCCGATAGTTCAATTGTTTTTGAACTATCAATAACATCATTTGTATTTTTATCTTTGTCCTCTAGACTCTTTCGCAAAGCTTTCGGCATTTCTGGATCAACTTTAAAAGTTAGATCAGACATTGCGTTGTCGCACTTGGCAATCAAGTAATCGGTGGGCACGAAAAACCGACTGTTCGAAACATTGATGGTATACATGTTTTCGCCTGTATTTTGCATACCCGTTATTTTATCTAACAAATCACTTTGCGGCGGCTTTGAGTCTGCAACAACGACAACAGGTGTTTGCCTGAGATTCTTGTCCAGTGATTTGGACTTTTTGTCTTCGTTCGAATAATCTTTAATATCTTCAGTACTATGACTTTGCTCATTATGGAGTTTAGGCGGTGAAGCTGTGCTCTTTGGTGATTGTTTGTCTTTCGTAGATGAGGTTTTGTTGTCGTCGGATGAAAAAATGATACAAATTTCTTTATCATCGTCGACTTTTGATCTAACACTACTTAATTCAGCGGAAGTATCTAAACGTACGTTGTTGGTTTCACTAATATCAAACCAAACACTATTGCCTTGGTCGCTGTTAGCACGATTCTTTAAAATACTCTTTGTCTTTGCTAATTGACTTTGCGAAATACCCTTTGTCTTTGGCACATCACTTTTCACAATAAGTTTCTTTGGTTCACGCTTTTTAACAATAGTACGTCCACGCTTTAATACGGCGTTCCTCGGCTTTTGAGCTTCTTTATCTGGAGTGCGCCGTTAACAAATTAACAGAATAAAAAAATAATATACATTTAACATGCGACATCAAAAGATTACGGTTGTACAACAACAAATTTATAACTTTATGAATGACGTGGTTGTTTCTCAAAACATATCATTGAATTAAAAAAAACGCGAGCAAGTAAACGTTCCAAATTTTTGAATTATATATTATTAAACTTGCATTGTTACTCAACGCTAATTTGTCTTAAACTGTTTTTTAAATAACATGAGATAACATACTGCTACTATCTACAGAGAAAAAATTAGATAAATACTGAATTTCGTAGGATATTTCGAGATAACCAGCCAACCACATCAAACTTCTACAACATACGTTAAAAAGTCACTTACTAATATTATTAAGCTTATCCAGTTGAGCCTCAAGCGCCCTGAGCTTGTCCCTTTGCGTTTTGTTTTCCAAGACCACTCTCTCGAGCTCGCTCTGAGCCTCAGTTTTGAAATCATTGGCCACTCGCACAGTCATGAGTAGATCAGTCTGGAACTGTTGCCACTCGGCATTCTCTTCCTGGCGAAGTTTACGTTCTTCAGCCAGTGCGACTTCGAGTTCATACTGGCGCGATTGAGCTTCGCGTTCACGACGTTGCAACTCACTCAGGACCGCTTTCATCTCGCGTTTATCCTCAAGGTGACGCTGACATTGTGATTGTAACTCAGCAAGGGAGTCGCGAACTAACTGGAGTTCAGCGTTCACGGACACGCGTTCCTCTTTTAGTTGGCTCAGACGATACTCGAGGTCCTCCATCGCGGACTTTGCATTATTCCGTGCCACCTAAAAATGAATAAAAATGACGATTAGCATGAATTTCACGAGAAAAATTTAAGCAGTTTCTGTCGAGCGGTATCAAATGTCTTTAATGGACTTGAATTTCAATACAAATTTATTTCATTGACTATTTTTTTCCATTAAATTTTGCTTGCTACGTTAAATAAAAACCACCAACTTTCTCAAACGTCCTGCCGAATCAGCGTGATAGTCTTTCTGTCATTGTGGCACACAGTGTTTCCAAGAAAATTACTCAACACCGCGCGTATGCACCTAAATGTTTACTACATCCCAAGCGTAAAACTTACCTTAAACTCCTCTTGAAGCTGCGAATATTGATCCCTCAGTCTGTCGTGATCACAGTGTGATCTAGCTAATTGCTCTTGCAAGGCAGCAGCTTGTGTCTCGAGCATGTCTTTTTCTCTCCTCGCGGCATCGAGCATTTCGTCCGCTTCGCTTTTACTTTCGAGCTGCCTTGACTGTTCAAGTTCCTCAATTTTCGCGCGAGCATTCTCCAAGAGAGTGGCTAGCCTACTAATTTCAATGCTTCGATTTGCTCCTTCCTGCTTCGATTCGGCGAGCTCAAGATCAAGCAATTTACGTTCGACATTTGCCGCGTCGATCGTTGATTCCAGGAAGTGCACGCGCTTCGTCAAACGTTCGATCTCGATCGAACCGGCATCTGCTGTTGCTCGAAGAGCTTTCAACTCGGACGTTAGTTCTTCTTGCTTTCGCAAGAGACTTTCTCGTTCCTCTTGAGCACTCTGTAAAGGACAAAAAATGTTGATTAGCAATCAAGTCACAACAAATCTTGTGGATCAAATTAATGTAGGATTAGTAATCACCTTCAACAGATCAACTAGTTTCTGTTCCCGCTCAGTGTTGTAGCCTTTGGATTCTTGTGGCTGCTCATCTCTAAGCAATAGTCCCTGCAGAGTGTCAACCTTTGAGCGGGAGTCTTCTAGTTTCTCAGTTTGCCTGCAGAGAGACTCTAACAGTACACCTTTTTCCTCAGCAAGCCTGTCATTGTCAGCTTGAAGTTCTGACAGTTGAGCCTACAATGTAAATATGTTTCTTTGTATATTGCATGGCAAATTAAGGGAGCAATTCACTCAAGGCTAAACTAATTAGCATAGTTGACTGGTGCACTAAAGCATTTAGTACATTTAAAAATTGGAATATAAATTCCATATGTACATTTAATTTTACGAAAACAACTCTGATTTCATGCCAAAAGTACACGTTTGAAACACTAGCCTAGAATATTCGTCAGCAGTAGAGAACAAAGTTTACCTGTAGATCACTGAGTTCTTGAATAGTGGCTTGCAGCTCTTCATTAGTGGAGTAATGTGTCTCCTCCATTTGTAAAATTCTGTCCTGTAAGCAGGCAACTGACACTTCAGAGCTAGATGACCTCTTATCCCAGTCGGGTGTTGTGCTCCTGGCATTTTCCTGTGTCATATTACCAGAACCAGCGCAGCTATCCTCTTGCAGCACTGCAATGGAAGCTGGCGCTGAATTGTGCAGTCGAGATGCATCTAGGAGCTGCTGCTTCTCCGAGTCAGATAGTGGTGAATGCACAACATCTCGCAGTCTGCTACGTAAGGCCTCATTCTCTTTGGCAAGTCGCTCCAGTTCTAAGCTATGCTGTTCCTACAACCATTCCAAGAGAGAAAATTATATTTAAAAAAACTCACATCCACATTGAATTTTCAATTGTCATTTGTACTTTGCACACTCTATAATTACTGTATGTGTACTGATAGTGTAAGTCTGTGTATATAGCAAATTGAGTGATAATTGCATGTAAGCCTATTGGACAGAGAGAAGAATTTTCTAACAATAGAACTTGGTAGCACTTGGTGATACTGTACTTGTTCTCAGTGTGGAGATCAGGCAAAAAATAAACAAAGTGTGTGGCAGGTCTCGCTGTGTGCGAGAGAGAAAAACTGTTGGCAAGCAGCAAACTCAATAAATTCCACCCACTCTTTACTAGCCAACCTCGCTGCTGGCGCGCATTCTCCGCTCTTGTGAGAGAGAGAGCGAGAGAGAGAGAGAGAGAGCGAGAGAGAGAAGAGAGAGAGAGAGAGAGAGAGAGAGAGAGAGAGAGAGAGAGAACCCAGTGGCTTACTGAGAAAACTTAGCAAGTTCTCGTTGCCGTCGCGTGCGTGTGTATATGTTTATGCGCGCGCGCAAGAGAGCTCTCGGTGTTCGCACGGAGTAGAAGTAAAAAAAATGTGCGCGAAACGAGGCACGCGAAACGAATCCTTATATAATAAAAGCTACGTGGACAGAAAGAGTGAGAGAGAGAAAGAGAGAGGAGATGGTGTAGTATATGAAGGTTATGTAAGGCTATAAGAAAAAGACACCAGCAGCAGTGGTGCGGCAACAACTACTTTAACAATATTCTTCGAAAGAAGAACAAACGGAGGAATATCTTTTGTCTCTCACCGTCGGAGACAGCAGAGGTTGTTTAATCATATCGGGATGCTCCTCGCCTTCGCACTACTGCCTTCTCTCTCTCCGCACCGCTCTACCGCCGCCGCCGCCGTACGTATGTACGTGTACGCGCCTTCCACGTTCCCTATTGGTGTTTGTATGTGTGTGTAAGAGAGAGACGGGGAATTTTATGCCGCGGCGCTTCGATACATCGCGCTTTCTCTCTCTCTCTCTCTCTCTCTCTCTCTCTCTCTCGAGCGGTCTCTCATTCCACGACTGCTGTCTCTGGCGATGCTTTTTTTATGACTGCTGCCGCCGTCGAGAGAGGACTGGCCGCCGCCGCCGCGACGACGAGAGCCTTTTATTTTTCTTCCTGTCTTTTATTAGCCCGCTCTCTCTCTCTCTCTCTCTCTCTCTCTCTCTCTCTCTCTCTCTCTCTCTCTCTCTCTCTCTCTTACTCTCTCTCTCTCTCTCGTTCTGCGTGGATCTTTAAGGAGTTACCCAGGTGTTTGCTCTGATAATATTGCTGCCTCCAAAGCAGAGACGCACGCACGCACGCACGCACGCACGTTGTATCCGCAACGGCAGTCTGTGCAGGAGATGCACTCAATTGGATTCTAATTGAATGGTTATTCCAGAATAATTGCTTGCAAGCTGCTACGGAGATGCTGCAATGCGGTGAAGAAGACGACGACGACTGATTGGGCTATTTTTAGCGGGAAACCACGGTATTTTCGAGCAATTTATGCGAGAGACAGTATACTCTGTACATTTCTAGGGAATACCGCATCTCGCGCTGGCTACTGTTGTAGAGCTCTGTACGTGCCGCTGTGCTCGCTTCTGGAATGTTAGATTGGCTTGGTAGATCGGATGTAGTGGATAATATGAATATTCATTGTTGGGCATTATGATGACTTGCGCGTGTGACCATTTCGCTTATGAAGTGGAGTTATTGAGTCATTGATACCATTTTTTTTTGCTATTTATTGATTTTGGAAAATGTTACCAATGTATCAACATATACTTGCTACTAAAAAAAATATTTGTATCTCAACATATTTTTTCAGCTCAATGTGTTTGAGTTATCCGCAAGAGATGAATTTGTCGTTGTCTAAAGTCTTTGAAGTGAAATCATAAATAAGCAATTCTGGAAATAGAGCGGAAAACCGCACAAAAGTGTTAATCTTCAAATAAAAATAAAATTAGTCTCAACACACTTTCACCACTTGCAAGCTTTGTTTAGCTTCCTGTCTTTTATAGCACCATTTCGATTCGACGATATTAATATAGAAAACCACGGTGATGGGGAGTGTAAAAAGATTTATTAAATAGTAAATTTCAATTATCTAAGCTCTATCTAATTTTACCTGTGCTCGGGTTTTAAAATACCGATAGAAATTTTAGACGATGATTGTTCAATTATTATTAAGGAAATGCATATGTATTCCATATCGAGAAAAATTATAACTAAATGAAATTAAGTGAAACTGTTTAAACTATAAAAGCTGCAATTCAAAGACTTGTTCGAAAAATATGAAAAAGTACTAAAAGGCAGAAGCTGCACTACAAACATGGGAGTTATGAAAATTTTCCAGTTCGAAAATTACGAGTCTTCATCTCCATTCGAATGCTTCATTTTCACTAGACGGAAAATTCGACCCTCCATTACGTAATCCGCAACCCCTCTTCGTATGATAAAAGAACGAGTCATCCCCCACCCCTCCCACAATCGTGCAACTACAATGTAATTAGCCGTGGCGCCCTTATCTTACATCGTATGCTGTAGCAGAGAGATGTGCCAGCGGCGCCAACACAACATCGATCGATTATCCCCACAGAGTGCACTCTGCTGCCTGTCTCACGTTTCGTGGGTGGAATATCAGTGCCTTTTTCAGCCAAAAGTAGATTGTTTAATTGAGCCTAATTGGCCGGAAACGTCTCGTTCGAGAAATCCAATTATTGGCTCTTGATTAGCCTAATTTTCTCCCTTGCTATTGCGTTTGGCACGTACAGTCCTATAACTTGGTATAGATTCTTTCTTTTTATATTTCGAAAATTAACGACTCTTCTCTAAAGATTCTGCGTTTTTAAACGTACGCGTACGCTTTTTTTCTTTGCCGTAGCGTTTTAAATTCACAATTACAAGAACGTAAAATCACTATCCGAACGTCGAATGCCTTTTTCTTTATAAGCGAAGTTTCAACGCCTGAAAAGCCAATTAACATTGAAGATAAATAAAGTTTTATTGTGGTTTTGACATACTTATTAGCGGGATGTGTCTGTGCGTGTGTATTCTTCTGAAGTTTTTCATCTTAATGCGTGTTGAAAGAGGTGTTGTTGATTTATTGAAGTATATTCACGATTCCGATTTCATCGAAACCGACCAATTGAATTTAAATCAGCCTCAATTAGTTTTCTATTCAGATCGTTGATTTACAGCGCGAAAAAGCTATTGTTAGCCTCGATCAAGTATCGGCGAGGAAGGATCGATGGAAAATATGAAAATTCACTTAACTCTCTTGCCTTTCGTGCGACAGACAAGATTTATTGATTGCCCGAGTGATTCACTTCGAAATTGTAAATCAAAGCCTGACGAATATATACACACACATAGACTTGGTATTATCATGTTTTTTACAGCTCTCTCGTTCGGTAGTTTATTTCGGGCTGCAACTTTCAATGATATATCCCCATTTAGCGATTTCTCTCCAAGAGAAGCTTCGCGATTGTTAACTCCTTTTTCTCCTTAAGCGATTCTATTATTATTCCGCCACAAGGCTATAAAAACACGACGAATAAAATAGTTTTGCGCCTTTCAAAATAGTTCCTTCCAAGACCTTCGAGTGCCCTTCAACGTATGCGTTTACAAAATCACACGCGCGAAGAGTACGATGAAGAAAGCGGAAAATCAACGACTAGGTGTCGTCCTCTCCAGGAGGAATGTTCAACGCAAAAACGTACCGTGCTCTCCGTCATCCTTCCAACAAGCCGAAATCCAAAGCAATCACTGGGATATGCGAAGCGCAGAATTCAACGAGCGCGCATCGCCATCGGTCGTCGAAAAAGCCTTTGCCCCCCCCCCCCGCAGCGCACGCGTACGTCTCTACACTGCCGGCGGAGAGCTGAAAAGGCAGCCGCTACCACACCGCACGAGCGCTCGCTAGCCACTGGCCGCGCGCATAGCGCAGATGCGCCGAGCAGAAACCTATAACGCTATAAAGCTGCTACTGCGCTCTCACGCACACCACGTGCGCGCGCACGCGCTTATACGTGTGCCGCGCGAACGGCTCGCGAATAATGTCTTTCTCTTTTTGTTTTGCCGTGTCGCCCGATCGACCTGTTATCGGAGCGACGATCGCGCGCGAATTCGCCGTTGCGCTTCGAAGCGCGACATCGCTCGCCACCACCGATCCTCGTATGAAATTCGTGCTACCGACGCGATCGGAACGCTCGTTTGCCGTTTCTTCGTGTTTCTCCCCGTTTTTTCGTCTCCTCTACTTTTCGCGCTCTACTTTGTCGCTTCGGTCGACGCGAGTTGCAGCTCTCGACGCGCGGCATTTTTTCCAAATGCAGGTTTTCAGCCGTACGGCGAAGTGTGCATCGCTCTCGCGCGATTATGAGAGCGCGAGAAACAAATAGGGAGGCGAGAGCGTAACGAGGCTAATGTATGAAGACGCGAAAAAGAGAAAAAGCGGAACTCTCGGGCGAGGAAAAGAGCTCGCCGGAACAAAAACCAACAGAAGCGCGTTACGCTGCATTGAAAACGACCGCGAACAATATATCGTCATAATATTTTTTGTTTTTTCTTTTGAGTTACGATTTCATTTGTGTCGATGGCCTTATGGAGACCTAATTTCCGCGACAAGTGTGCTCGACACATTTTTTTATTTATCTAATCAATTAACTCGTCAAGTTACACGAAAATGATGGAGGTTTTTATCTAAATTGGCAAGATGAGTTTTTATCCCTTGATTAAGACAAAATTTGCTGCTGATATAATCGATCGCTTATATCTGGCAGTTTACGGATAGAAATTTTTGTACACGAGAATTTGAAGTGATCATAATATTAGATCGCGCATTTTTTTGTGCAAAACGAAATATCAGCATAGTTTTATGACATTCGCCACGTAACGATTTTTACGTTATATTTTTCCTTCAATTACTATTATACGACACGCATACATGCACACCAGAAGGTCTTTCTCACTACCGTAGGGTTTCGCTCTCTCTCTCTCTCTCTCTCTCTCACTGGCGTGCCCGACTTTGACTCTATACAAACCGTTTCTACTACATTTATACGGGCTTCCCTCTTTGTTATAGTGCATTAAATGTTCCTTTTTTTTCCGCGTGGTAGGCGTAACAGATGTTCGTGCCACGGTATATATGTAGCGGAGAGAAAAATTATTCCACGTGCAAGCTCTACGGCGCGCGATTGATGCACGACGACGACCAGCCGTGTGTGCACACGAGAACCGTTCTTTTCCTTTTGATCACACGCTCTTTTGATTCGCTAGTATACTTGGAGGCTTTTCTCTCTCTCTCTCGTAAATCACCGTGCGCACGCTCTGCATAGGTTCGATTGACTTGCTTAGTTTGTTGAGCACGTTTATAAATCATGACCTTGCGTCGATTACAACAAAAACTAGTACAACGGCAAATTTTACTCGGTTTTTAAATTGATACTTCGCCAATCTGCCTTACATAGGTTTACGATATTTAATTTTCATCAGTGTGAATGTTGTATAATATCTTTCAAAGACGACCTGATGCCAAATAAAAATGACGGTCAACTTCGCAATCGAGTGGTTAACTCTGAAATGAACGGCAACCACGTCACGGAAAAAACGAGATATTTCAATCAGAAAACGCCACTGTAACGAGGTACTTCATCGCGGAGAGAGAGAGAGAGGGAGTGCGCCGTTTGCGTGCCTTGTACAAACATTGATAAACGAATTATGCAAGGAAGAATGCAAGCCGCAGAAACCATAATGAAAGAAGAAAATAATAATCGTCGAAGGCAAGCGTAAAACGCATGCGAGGGGCTCTTTAAGCCAGCGAAGTGTATATACTGTTACGCTTGTGCAATGTGCATTATAATCGCGCGCCAAGGAAATACAATAGGTGTCGTGTCGCGAGCGCTCGTATGAAAATAGTGATTACGCGGTTAAGCGACGATCCGCGGTACATGCTTGGTGGTACGAACCTTGAGTCGCGCAATCTCGTTGAGGACCTCCTCGTAACGTCTCGTGTCGGCGTTCCTGTAACTAGCCTCCACGCGTGCGCGCTCCTTCCTCAAGTGATCGTTTTCGCGCTCCAGGTCTTCCAATCGGCTGCGATAGTCCACACCTTGTGGCGCCACCATTGCCGTTGTCGTCGTCGCCGTCGACGGCCTCGAACTGCTCGAGTGCTTGGACGACGCGGTGGTTAGGGCGCTCGACGAATTTGACGCCTGTAAATTTCACAAACAAAATAAAGATGATGTATTAATAGAGTGGTTTTTTCTTTTTTATTTGACGCTTTTTTTTGTGTTGCTTAAAGTTCTAGTTTGTTTACAATTCGCTTGAGTGGATTTGAGTGATTTATATTGCAAATAATGTTTCGCATTTTAAATTAAGTTTGGCAAAGTATAGTATTGCTATATATATATTTCTATTAGACAACGTTATTTGTCACCATTAGTGGGGTGTCGAAAAAATAGAATAACTAGACGTCGCGTAGTTTTTATACAATAAGATATTGCTTCAGTTGGACATTTTTTTCATCTTGTTACTTAAATTAACTTTATCAAATGAAAAGATATACCATGACATACTGTGTTAAATAAAATTCTATTTTGTGTGCATAGTTTATATACAGGGTCATATCAATTTTAAATATTCATAAATTATTCATTGAAAAATAAATTGAATAACTCAATTCAAAGGTGAAATCATTATTGTCAATCTAATAAATGATACTGCATTTAGTCAGTTAAGAGTTATAAAAAAACTTATTTTGGGAAACAATATACTTTTCATAATTAATTTAACTTATGTACTATTTATGAATTTTTTTCATTTACGATGGATCTAATCAACTTGACAAGAGTAGTGCCGTATCAAAAAGTTATTTGTAGCCACCAATGTCTCATCAATTTATCTAGCTCTAGAAAAAGAAAAACATGAATTGCAGAATCTTTGATAAATTGATTGTTACTTGTAAATTTGACTGCATATTGCTGTGAGCAGGATGTGGTCCATTATTTCTAGAATCCCTATATCCCAAAGAAGCAGAAGAGGACAGCATCCAGTCATTGCTGGCCCTTCTGGATTTAACTTCTGAAGCAGAAGCTTGCTGATTTGGTGGAGGTGCCACTTGTTGCTGATGGTTTGACCTTTGACGATGTTGCTTCTGATGAGAAGAGTGACTTTGCTGTCCCCTTCTAAACAGGGATTTGAACTTCATCATGGTCGCTCAAGCAATGATGTAATCCTCGTATCAGGCAGAGAGTCAGTCAGTTCATTAACTCCAAGAGTCACTGTCTACCGCCTTCTTTTTAATCTTCTTCTTCCAAACAGGCTTCTGATTCACTTTGCTCTTGCTCCTTGTTGATTATACTCGAGGGCTTCGCATAGCACTTGCTGAATCTATAAATAGATCTATAATTAGATACATTGTAGTCAGTATTTGTATAATTCTATTATAAGTAAGTAATTGTATTTTGCAATTTCTGTAGGTTAAAATTTGTTAGATACTGTTTTGCTTTGACGCAATATTAATGTTTCTTGTGGATAATTAATATTTATAAGTAGCTTCATTTATATATTTCAGTCAATTGCTATTATAATTGTGCAAAAGGTCATTGTTGTAAATAAAGCTTATGAATTTGTAATATTTGTAAACATTAAAATACCTCTTTGACAATTATTGTGTTAATGTTAACCCAGCTATCAAATATAAATTTAATTTAATCAACTTATATGAATTCTTAATTTTGAATGTGGTGTCATAATAAAAAATTTGATCTCAATAAAAAAGTATTTGTGAAAAAAAATGTTTAGAAACAGCTACACATAGTTGATCAGCACGTCAACTTTCCCACTATATATCTGGACTAGAAGAAAAGACATTCTCACGCTTTTAATTCATCATCGAACCATACGCACTCAGGAAAAGCATATATATAACGATGCGAACGTTCTAACGGTACGGCATTCACATGTTCATCTAAAAGTCAGAGTGCATGGATAAAAGCGTCAGCTATATCAGTTTGTCATCACCAGTATTCGAAGTCACAATGACGAATCTAAATGAAAAAGGCGGCGCAACGAAATTTACCGTGTCGCGCACCTTAACACTTTCGCACACGAGGAAAACGATCTCGCGAGAAACGATAGCACGCACGAGAACCTTGCCGAACAAACGCCATGGGAGGAGATGGAGGAGCTCGCCTTTGGCAAACTAAAAATTCATCGACGACGTGGAATCAGCAGCATCGGAAGAGCTGCGTCTGAGCGTGAAAAAGGAGAGCGCTCACGGAACTGCAGGCAACGGCAACGGTTTGACACACTGTGGTATCGAGACGCTCGGCGAGAGAGCGAGAGAGAGAGAGAGAGAGAGAGAGAGAGAGAGAGAGAGAGAGAGAGGCAGCATCGCCGTTACTTTACTCCGTGAAAGTCGCGCGCGCAACTCGCGCCCCATGTGCAACCGGTCGCTCTCCGTTTCTCGTGTACATATGTAGCAGCGTCCCCCTCTACCATTCCCAACCGCAGTATATACGCTATACACATATACATAGGTGGACTTTTATACCGACGAAGAGAGCCACTTGTTGCCTATATATACTATCTACGAGGAAGTTGTGCCTGTATGAACTCCGATCTCTCCTGCAACACTACTACTGCTGCTGCCGCTTGAGAGAAAAGAGCTCTCGACTTTTAGCTCTCTCCTCTGGCTTTTAATCGAGAAAAGAGAGAGAGAGAGAGAGTGAGAGTCTGTGCGGGGGGATATAATACGTTATGTATGTATGCGCGCCTGTGTGTGTAAGTGTGTGCGCGTGAGAGAAGAGAGGCGAGACACCCGCAGCCGCGCTCTTGAGACTCAAGTTTTTTGAAGGTCGTTCGGATTTTAATCTTTGCTTTTAAATGCGTGCACGCCTCGCCAGCCTCATTATAAGTTGCGAAGATGATTGTATTTATACATGGCAGGCCTTTGTATTGAGATTTGGAGCGGCAAAATCACCGCGGGAATCGTGACTTATAAAGGTCGCGAGTTGACGCTCGGTGAGCTACCGAAAGAGCGAGTTCAAGCCGAAACAATTCAATCGTATTCCACTTTTCGAGAGCGCACGCTGCATGCCTACTTGAAATGCGAACTCGCATGCTCAAGTAGTACCCAGTGCGCGAGCGCACATTACACTTTCATTCTGAAAGAGCGTCTCTCGTAATTTGCAATCGAACGCAAAATGGAACGCGGCTCTAAAGGAAAGAGAAAAAGACGAAGCGAAGTTGTCGGTCACGACACAGGGAAGACGTCGTAAAAGCACAGTTTTCGCGTAGATAAACGGGCGAAGACATCTTCGTGTCGAACGCTGTGCTGCGCGTCCGCGTGGCATTTTCGTGGGAGATGATTGACGTTGACGATTGAGAAAAAAAAAAGAAAAGGAAAAGAAAAAAAGCCGCACCTCTTTTTCGAACTGCACTCGTCTCGAGCCAATAACAATAAAGTACACAGCGCAAAACCGCAACGAGATCCAGGCGTGTACCGCATTTAACTCATTATTATTATTATTCTTTTTCTCATTTTTTTTTTATGGCAAACTCTTTGTCGCTTGAGAAAATAAGGCGCAAACGCGTCGCGAAGGCTGAAAATTCACGCAGGCATCGTTGGCCTCATCTCGAGCAATTGGCCTCAATATTGTCCGTGATAAAAGACGTATTAAGGGCGCTTTATTAGTGTATCATCAATTTTCGTCGCGCACGCCACAGTTTACCCTCCGCTCATATTTCACGATCCGCTCGATGACTCTCAGTTCGTCCTGTTATCTTTTTATACAGGGCGCGTTGACGATCGCTTACCAACAGTCGCGCGCTGAATATATGATGGCTAGAAAATTTTTTACGCCGTGTCGACACACAAATAGGATATACTTTCACGACGAGCACATTATAAGACTCCAGGTACACGGGTGTGCTGGTGTATCGCGCGAGCAATCGAACACGTTTACAAAACTGCGCAGACAGAGAGAGAGAGAGAGAGAGAGAGCGCCGTCAATTGTCAGATTGATTCCGACATACTTATAATACGCTTTTGAAAAACTTGCGCAAATATTACTCTTGGTGCGAGTCATTATTTTCCAAGTGCACGCTCCTTTCTCGACGTATAATACGCGCGTGCGCGCGTTGGTAGATTAGCGTCGTAAAACGACGATATTGAGTATTCAAATTGTCGCGTTCGACCGCGCCTTGAAGGGAGAAGAAAAAAGTGATAGCTGCGCGCGCGGTCCACTTTTTGTGTGTGATTGAGAGCGAGGCTGTGCAGGAGGTGCTCTCGCGTGCATAATCGCTTCGGCCGAGGGTTTACTTTACTTATCTAAGGTGTGTACGTGCGCTTCTTCATTTTTTCCTTTTTTTTTTTTTTTTTGCTCGCGACGTAAAAACCGTAAGGAAAAATGCGCGAACGTCGAGTACGTTACGAAGGATTATACTTTGAAATGCCGTCGTTCGTTATTGGAATTCTGTATCGATAAGTCATAAATGCTATTGTTGCTGCATGACGTCAATGTGTGGCGCGTATCCTGTTAAATAACCTACGGTTCCTGCGTCAAGTTTTCATTTTACGACGTTATTTTATTTGCAAAACGCGAGGCGAGGGCTTTCGCAGAGTGAATCGCACGCGCGAACATACTTTTCTCAGCCACGTATCTGATTAGAAAAAAATTTATTATCGCTCAACATTCCCAGCGATCATCGGAATCGGCACACCTCGGCGATAAGGTTGCTTGTCGATCGAATAAAGTTGAACATTCTTATCTCTCGCTAAATAAGGAATCTCCTCGTCTTTTTGATGTGCCTTTTTTTTTTCTTTTTTAACGTTCGTTCCGCGGTTAATTAAACGTTGCGTGCGTGTGCGTCTCCTCCTCGCTCGTAAAACTTGCGCGAATCACCGTGTAAAATCACTTGTAAGAGAGTTTTTCGAAGCCGTAAAAAAGCCCTTCCTGGCGTAGAGCGAGCGAGAGACAAAGGGACGCTGGGCGTTTTTCGGAAAATCCACTTTTCGTTGGGCGAAGGGGGATTCTCATTCGTGCGTAATTTTCCGACTGGTTCGCCCACCTTCCTTGCTGACGCTCGCGCCCGTTCACGCGAGTTCGGCGTTCTCCTTTTCGAAAAATCGAGATAGATCCTCGAGGGTAAAAAGCAAGGACAATAACACAACACTACGACACTCACGAGCAATGGCACAGAGCATCCTGGAGTAGAATAATGGTGGGTGAGACGGCGCGACGAACTGAACACACGTACTCGCGGTGCATCGGTGGTGCGCTGACTGACTCGTTGCCGAAACAACACACCGACAGAAAGAGAGAGAGAGAGAGAGAGAGAGAGGTCTGAGGTCTCCCCGCTCTTACGGACTGTCTCTGGTACTCACTCCTACTCCCGCGCACGCCTGCACCTTCTTCGATGTATATATACGCGCTCTCTTTATTAAACAAGCTCATTGGCCAATTTTCCCTTCGCGCTTTTTCCGCTCATCGGCTTATTAATCTTCGATATTATACACCCGTCGTCGCTGCTGCTCTGCCAAGACGATAATATGTAGAGCTTGACGGTTATTCGATCGCGTATATAAAATAGATTATAATTGCGATGGTTAACGATGTAATTTTTCGCTTTTGATTCCTCTCCGGAATCAATATTTGCCAGACCTGATAACAGAGCGTCGCGAGAAAGAAGCGAAACCGCGCTGAAACAACGAGCGAACTTGACGAAAGGCAAACAAAAAGCGCACGTTACGACAGAAAAATGTCACGTGTATCGAAAATGAGGAGGAAAAGCGTTCGTAAGTATTTTTAAACACCTCTCCCCTTCCATCAAATGCGGTATCGTTCTGGAGTTTTATTGCCATGTGAATGACAATTTATCGGATAGAAATTTGGGGTTCATGAGAACATGTTCAGACTAAATATAACTTCACGAAGACACAAGTTTCAAATGATACTGCCATTGTAAAGGCTCTCTCTCTCTCTCTTTCTAGCATATAGTACTACACAGTTTCCAGAGAGAAACTCGGCTGCTGATAGTAAATGTGCATTTCAACAACGGAGTAGCTCGCGGACAGAACTCACCTTTTATCGCGAGCAATGCGGAAAGTAACGATTACGAAAAATCTTGATGCGAAAACAGAAAAAAAAAATACACGAATCTTCGCCAACGTTGGTTGCATAATCATCTTATACGCAGACGGCTGACACACGAGATGACATGCACGAAAAGTCTCGAATTTTCAAGCGGGGAAGAAAAAAAAATTCAGCGAGTAAGTCTGCAATTCAATACGCTACGTAATGTATAGGATGTTGAGTGATGGGAATGGAATTTAAGTTAATCGATCGTGACAAAGAAAAGCAAAAAAGTAGATTCCGAATTTTCAGCGCGAAGGGGTGCTTTTCGTAATGGAACAGCGATTTTAATCGCTGAACTCGGCGGGCAGCAAAACGAAGGCTTGCAACTGTTTTTTATTGCTGGCCACTTCCTCCAAAGCGCAACTGCATCTGTCGCCTCGCAATACACGATTTGAAAAAACAGCAAAAACCTGCGTAAGCTGCCACATGCTCGAGGACAGTAATGGATCCGTGAAAACTTGCTCGTCATTTCATTGGCTTCAAATTGAAAGCGATGAATCGTATTGCAGCATTACGTATACAATCGAAGTAATCAGAGATCGTTGCAACTTTGCAGCGGAGATACAAAGTGCAAGCAGACGAGTCAATGCAATATTGATATCAGTCGCCATGCAAACTTCAACGTTCAATGATGTTTTATTTTATTTTTTCTCAGCGAGGTATTATTCACTTTTTTGCATTTGCAGAGGTCGGTTTCACAGAACGAACAGTACCAACCCACAAAAAGAAGAGAAAGGGAGAAAAAGAAGAAAGGCGAAACGAACGAAGGAAGGAACGGTGAACAAGCACGAAAGGGAGTCTGAAGAGGATCAGACTTGAAAGACGAGCTTGAAGAAGCTTCGTCGGTCGAGAATGTATAAGGAGGAGCATATAGCGCACAGCACGCGACGCTCTTCACTTGCTGCATCACAAAGCACAGTGCAGTTTCGCGCGAGCAGCGAAAACTCATGCCAAAGCTGTGCAGATATACTGTTTCGCTTTGCGCTGTATATGATACTACTCCTCGTGAGATCTCGATGTGTAACCCTCCTTAACGACGCTTTTTACGGTGACCGGATTTACATTTTTTCAATTACACGCGCGAGCAGGATGAGAGAACACTACGGTCCTTTTCTTCTTTGTGCCTTGCCGATGGAAAGAGAAAAAAAAAGCAGTGATCAAGCAGATGTTTCCATCGGAAATTCCTTTGTTTTATCGTGGCAACAAACTCATCGAGTTTTTACTTATTTGATAATTGATTGTTTTCCGTTACACGTAAAAGTTAGAAAACTTTACTGATTTACTGGCTTCAATCAAAGTTAACCTCTTTTGTAATTTACAGCTTGCAGCAGTAGATAGATGGTCGTCCGAGAATGACAAAGTTGCAATCAAAATTTTTTTTCTGAGTTTTATCCTCTTGAGAGATAATAATTGAGCCGAATGATGGTTAGAATGAGTGTATTAAACTGCTCAGAAGCTGTGGTGTGAAAATATCGTGACCCTTGAGAACTTCAACAGTGAGATATTAACGATTAAAAATAAGACTATGAGAACATGCACTTTTTACTGTTTATAAAAGCATTTCAAAATGAAAAAATTCTGAAGATTCGCGAGGGAAGTCGAAAATGATTCCCCGAATTATATTCGCAAAAATAACATTCAAAGCCTGAAAGATAAAACGTAAATAATTTTAATTATGCACATTTCATAAGACGGGGATATAGATGGCAAGCTTTTGACGTTCACTACGCGAGTTTTCTTTTCAACCGAAGCATTCTCTGCCTTGTCTGTATTCAACATAATGTTAATTCACGTTATCTGATCTTGCGTGAAGTTTGATTATATTATACAAAAAGTCGCAGTTAAACGGATGCTAAGAGCAAAATAGTTTTGAATTAAGTTTGCTCTTTCTTTCATTGTACTTTGGGTAATATGTGCCCTCATTTTTTTCATCATTATACACGACTTGAATTAGATGATCAAAGCAAATTATGAGAAACATTTTACTTCGAACAAAGGAACGTATTTCTATATCCAAACTGCTTGAATATAAATATACGACGTAGATCGACGGCTGCGTTTCTTAAACTATAAACACAATGGAAGTGTATCATGAGTTCCCATCATTTACGGTAAATAAGCGTTGTGTGATCGTATTCTGATGTGATTTCGCTTGTTACTATCCGATTACTATCGTTACGAGTTTGTTGATAGGTGAGGTTCAGTATAATAAATCCGCGCTACTAATAACATCTCTCATATATTATGTCTTATTTATTATATCATAATAAATTAAATATCACAATAATAAATTTGTAATTTTAAAAGATGCAAACGGCGTGGCTATGTTGGTTATTCTTACACGGTGATCGAGTTAAACTATTGCAGTGAAGTGTCTGTTGGCTTTTATGCACAAATTACGTTTTTACAAAGCCGAGAGGTAGGTTGTTCGAACAACTCAAGTACAAAAATCTTAATTTCTAAAGTTATCAGAAATTTCCACTAATCTTTCGAATCTTGATGATTAATACAATTTCTAAGAGGTGATAAAGATTGCGCAATGACTTGAGAAAATTGCTTATTGTGTGCAGAAACAATGTTTCAAATCTAGATCTTAAATAATTCTGGAAATTCTTTCAATTCATAAAGCAAGATTATTTATAGATTATATTATGACTGACTGATTATTTTATTGATTTGTGCACGCTTGCTTGCAGCTCTGTATTTTTAATTATAAACTAAAAATTACATAGATTTATTATAAGTTTGAGATTACAAATAATGTCACAAGTAGTATAATTAAGATAATGTATGTACGTTTTAGTTTCAAAAGATTTTTGACACGGCACTCGGAAATAGTTATTTATATACCTCATTCTAGGTTACAATGAATATTGAATACCTACGCTTACCTCCAACAGCCTATATTGTAGCTCTATATTGCCTCTCGTGTACGCCACACACTTATTCGGTAAATAGGTCCCGTACACAAGGAACTCCCCGGCTGTAATAGCGGCACATATAGCTCAGGAGATTAGAGGTCTCTAGTGCTGTTGGGCTGTAGTGACTTTAATATAGCCGGGAATGAATCATCCTTGGCTGTGTTTTGACCTTCCACGTACGTAAAGCAGCTGTATTTACCGGTTGACTGTGACCTGCATGAAACGTTAAATTTATAATGTATATGTATAGATGCGTAATATACATAATTTAGCTCTCGCTGTACAAGTGACTCATCTGTACGGTTCAGTTAGTTGGCAACCACCATGCAGGTTAGACGCAAAAACCTTCATGTACCGAGCTCTCCTACTAACCCTTTTATTGTACCCTCTCATCTTCTCACCCTCATCCTTTCTCTCTCTCTTTTCTATGTTAAACGCGTAAAATCAACAGTGAAACTTGAGTGACCAAGAAAGTATTATGTTAGGGATGGCGATTGATCGGTCGACTTGCAATTTGAAAAAATTACATCACAGGTGGATGACCATGATGAAGCTGCATCTCGTGACGGAAAACTTGTGGGACACAGTCGAAGTAACACCATCCACCGCAATCTCCACAGATGCACGCAAACGTGAAAAGGTTGACACGAAAATACTCATGGTGATAGAACAAGTACAGATGTAAACGTACAAGATAAAAATTCAGCATACGCCACGTGGTCTGAGCTGAAAAGCGTCGTTATCCAGAAGTGAAATAGGCTCTTTAATTAAATCTTTGGCGGCTTTGTTTGTGCAGAAAATTGCAGGTTTAGAAGCTCTTTTTTCTTTAACTTGACGAGTGTTCTGCCTATGTTTTCTTGCTTGCTTGTGTTGTGATGCCGTTTGGTGTTTATTGACCGAATTTCTGGAAAGAATGCTGCTAGTGTCTGAACTTTCACGGTCAGTATTCATGATGTTTACCTCTGGGCGCAGACTGTTTGTAATTTGGCAAATCTGTTATTGGTTTTGAGTTTATTTATTTCGACGATGGGCCTGTTGTCTCTGAGTGTCTTCTTAGATCTAAGCCAATCAACTTCACGTGTAGATTGAATATCGAGATGAGAATGAGGTCAGGTATAATTGTTAGAATCTGTGACAAATTGAGTGAAATTCTGCTTGACGCTTTGGCTACCAATTTAACTAGGGTGAATCCCGTTCTATTTTCTTAGGCATTATACGATGGTGTTAGATGCTGCTAGACTTGAGCTCTGGTCTTTCGTGAAATCGAAAGAGTCACCGACGGGTAGGCCGGTAAAGATTAAGAGGCCGTCACTAGTGTGTTGAGCCACAATTTGGGATAGTGATACTTACTGATAATAACGAAGTTCCGTAGCACCTGCAGCCCAATGTTGCTTGGAACAACCGTAAAGGTTCAGATATGGAGGGTAAGACAGCGAATGTTTGTCCGTTGCGGGTCGTACCGTCCGTCCGTATATCATGGCCGCTCAAGCTAGACTCGTTGCGCGTTTCTCGGCTAAGATATATAAATAACTCTTTCCAAACGTTCTGGTTATGAAGATTCAAGTTCCAATGCGTTCCAGTGAAAATTAGCTCCGATCCAACTCTAATGCGGAGGTTCAATGTTTATATATTGCACTGGAATGCGAGTTTTAATTGCGATAAGATAAGATTCACCGAACAATAACCTTTAAGACCCCGGTGAGGTGAAAATCTAATTCCGCTCAAATGCAGAGTTTTAACTTTGATAAATACTACCAGAGATCCAAATTAACACTCCTGGAAATTAAACGGGAAATTCTTGGATCAGAGCTTGGAAAAGAAATAGCATAAAAAGTATATAAGAATTTCTTCAAGTTCTTACACAAGTTCTTGTTGTCGGTTTTCAATTTATGAAATTATTTGTTAGAAATTCTTAACTGAGAGCTTACGTAAGATATTGACTAAGAACTTTTCAACAATTTAAATTTATGTTTTAAAAAAGTGACAGACGTTATTATTTAAATGAACTACGACACGCTATATGCTTAAACTATGTATTTATTTTACGCTTGTACCAACTATATTTGAGTGTAAACGATCTTTCGTGAACTAGTTAATAGAAGTATAGGCAGATAGCGTTTTAGAAAATAGTACATTATTTTAACTTTAATTATAAATGGCTGAAAATTCGACTAGTTAATGTACAACAGAAGAGTGAACTTAGACATGATGTGTTTATTGTATCTATAGAACTTAAGCGTGAGCATCGTAAAATACATACGTAGTTTGAACACTTTAGAGGTGATTTAAATGATGATGTCAAACATCTTCTTGTAAGGAAAAAATAATTGAAAATATCAATTTCAATTGTTGAAAAGTCCTTACTCAATTCCTTACGCAAGTTTTCGCCTAAAAATTTATTCGTACATGGAAATTTCATAGATTAAAAACCAATCGCAAGAACTTGAGTAAATACTTGAAGAATTTCTAATATTACTTTTATACAAGTTCTCATCCGAAAAACTTACCCTCTAACTTTCAAGAAGGATTTGATCTGGAAAGACTCAAGGTTGGACAACTCTACGGTGGCATGCAAAGATGCGATAAAGATTTGATAGTCTTCGTGTCAAAGTGCCTCATAGTCCAGAATTGGCACACAAACATACAGAAGGGTATATCAAACTCGAAGACGATGAGCTTGTAAGGCCAACACCTAGTAATAATGAGATGAACTATCGTGATTCTGTAGTCAATCTCAGAAAAAAGATGAAGACGTAAAGTTGTTTGTGATAATCTGGATTGACAGATGTAACCTGTGAAATATAATTTCGGACGTCAACGCAGTAAGCAATGTATCTTTTATGAAAATCTCATAAATAGGAGTCATTTTTATAAAAAATGATATCACGCCTCGATTGAACCCGCATAATTCACCAATAATAATATTGTTCAGTTTTGTTAATTTTGAGATAAATATAAAAATTGCAAAAATTACCTTGTTTCCACACCACCACTGTTAAAAACGTTACGTAAATCTTATTCTTTCCTTTCGATGCATGGGTAGTTGCTTTCTAGAAAACATTTTTCTAGGTTGGAACCTTTTCGCAAGCACTGACCGACAGACAGGTACCCCGTCATAAATAATTAGAGAAAACCAATGTAGCCGAAGCGCTCGTGAAGATCCTTTCTTGTCCAGATTTGCGCGGGGAAAAACGTCATACGGCTCACGTGTGCCAAAAGATGCGTGTCGGATAATCTAAACTGTGAACCTCTTCAGTTTAGCTTAAATGCGCCAATTACTTTCGTGTTCTTATCCTTCGAATTCTTACTTCGAATAAGATATTGCGTAAAAGTTAAGCGCCGAACACCTGTTTACGTATAATAAGACGACGACTAATACATTAAAGTAAGTGTGTTCATTTGCATACCGTATCTGCGTATCTTCGATAATAATTTATAATTTTGCGATTTAGGTAATGTTAATGCGACTGCGATTGTTTTCTTTTTTTTTGTTGCAAACGCACACTCACATCTTTTCTGATTTTTTACGGCTCCTCGTTATAGCGTACACCAGCACAGACGTTGTCGTAGTCGTGAAGCTATTCAAATTCAGAGATTTTCAGTTGCGGAAGCTGCAAGCTCTCTCTGCGATTGACATCCGTAACTAAGAGCAACAGGCGGGAAGAGAAAGCTGCAAAGTTGCCCATGAGCCTGGTAAACTATGGTGAGCGAGAGATAGCGAGTGGAAGAGCAAAAGGTGAGAGCGAGCGAAGGATATAACTGACTATATGCACATAGCAAAAATAAGGCCCTTTCGGTAGTACTCACGCAGTGGAGATGCACAGTGGAATATTTCTGATCTTTTTCCTAGAAATCTTTTATAAGCTGCAATTTTTACTCGATTTTGATGCGAGTAATTGAAAAGAACATCATGAAAATCAAGTGGAAATTACGGCTCATAAGAGATTTCCAGGACAAAGATCAGAAATATTCCACTGTACGATGGCGAGAGAAAGTTTTCGTTTGACAGCTACATACACGTACAGCTTAGTTAGCATCTTGCATCCGACAAAGCCAGTTGGGCATTACCCTAGTTGCGCTTGTCACTGTTGTTTTTATACTTTTAGAACAAAATAAAATAAAACGATTCAAACCAAATTTGAAAGTGCAGTATCACCGCCATAATCGATTATTTTTGCACACCCTGTCCTCAATAACTATTGAGATAAAGATTCTTTTAAGTTGATAGTTGCAATGCGGCAATATATTTGTTTATATATAGCAATAATGTCAATTAATTTACAGAAAAACGGCATATAAAATGATTATCGTAATAAATAAATCACGAAATCAATGAATAGGCGAATAAAATAATATACATTTTACAATAAACACAATAACAAATACGCACATATACACATAAGTTCGAACAGTTTTCATTATTTTGATTTTTATTTATACGAGATTTTATGCACGTTTCATTTCGTCCACGCTTTACAATTTAACTAATAAATTACATTTATTTGATCTATATTCTTACTTAATTTTACAATCGTACTTTATTTAATATTGGTCCAGTACAACTCTTGTGAGTTTTAAAACACCGTGCGATGATCTTATAATTAGAATTATAAGAAAAATTAACTATGTTCTTACAATTATTTTTTACAGCATTTCTTGATTTACTCTTAGCAATGAAAAATAATTTGTTTAGTTAAATACATACATATCGTGAGATGAATCTCATCCAACATCGATTGTTTAACAAGATAACAAGATGATTTAACTATTCTGTTTATGAAAATATTTGTCAGATAATAAACACGCTCGATAAATCAAGTATAGGCAATGTTTTTCTTATATGCAATTGAATGGTTCGATAAAGTGTAACTAAGATTGATTTTATTTTTGACGCCAATTCGTTAAAATTCAATAATTTTTCTAATAATAGGGAAAATTTAATTTACCATTATTTTTCACTTCAAAAGTGAATTTTAAATATTCCTGGTATTCATTAGATATTTCAATGATTAAATCACGTTGGTAGCATTTGATAATTTGTAACGGAAAATTCAACCGACAACCCAGAAGATAATACCTACGGCCGTCCGTGCAAATTATTTCAAAATTATGAATAAAATTACCGAGAGAGAAAGAGAGAGAGAGAGAAAAGTACGGCACCGTTCCTAGCTGTTACCTCTACTGCTGCCGACCGTCGCTGCTACCACTCGTCGGTGTTACTGCTGCTTCCTGCATTCGTCCTGCCGTTGGCCGTTGCTGCTACCGCTTGGGGACAGGGTCGCGTGCGTCGTCAACGCGGATCCTCACTGGGACCTTACTGGTTGAGGACGATCTAGCCTCTAACGAGAACAAATCCAATGAACACGTCCCGCGCACCTGACGTGTATCCTCGACAAGCAATAAACCCGGCGAGGCCGCGCCCGAAAACAAAACGGAAAATCGGCGACGCGCCCGATCCAACAACCCAGCTCCGACTGCCCTTTAAATTTCTTTTTCTTCGGGCCGCTCACATCGCTCTCCGTGCGTTCACCGTCTCGCTTCCTCCATAGTCGTCGGCATCCCCTGGCTCCACCAATCAGCTCGCACAGAGAAAATCGGCGTGCGAGTGCGTACGCGCGCACTGAGCCTGAACGCGGCGAACGTGTGATTGCGAGAGCCAACGGACGAATCGGCAAAGCCGTGATTCTTCGTTACGAATTAAAAATGTATCGTTCTACAGAAAAATAAACAGAGTTATGATCAAGTCCACGTAACTTTTAATATCAAGTGTCGCGTGCCTTTTCTTGCCTATTACTTTTAATGTTTCTAATTTGCGACAGTGTGCGTTTAAAAGTTAAATAATTAGCTAAAGTGCTTCTTGATATTATAATACCTTCGATATATTTTTTTAACTACGAATGAGAGAAATCTAAAATCATGTGATTGCTGGAAATCGCGATCACGCTCGCGTTTCATGTAACCACGTTAGCTCATTTTTGTTTAAAGAATGAGGTGACGAGAGTAGGAAGTCAAGTATGTGGAGCAGTCGATCTTGTATGAGAGAATGAGTTCAGTTTGCGATCGAAACTCATGTGATACACACGCTACAGTTATAAGTTCTTTTATTCATAATTTTTACAAATACACGTCCAGTTTCCAACAAATTCTATTTTTATATAAATTACTATTCTTTCATTTACGCGAAATTATATAACTTAAAAATAAATATTCGCCGAAAAGAAAAATAAGCGAGAAACACCGCATAAGTAGTGAAACATTGTGCGACATGTTTTTGTGTGGAATGTAATGAGAAAAATGATTATTGCAAGATGTTTTTGTTATTATAAAAGTTTGATTTATACATAAACGAAAACTTATATAAAAGTGATGTGTGAGTGTGTGTATGTGTATGTAACTCGGTAGATCTTTTTATAGCTTATGGTTAGTGTAAGAGCACCGTTAATTATTTCAATTAGGTAAAAATGTAAAACGATAATAGTAAGTATAATTCAAAATAATAAGCAAGTCTTATATATGTGCTATTAATATTTGAAAATATATGACGTCAAGTTTACAATGTCATTACTTTTCAAAAACAGTTCTACTTTTTCGTTCTTAACAATTTGCACTGTCAAATATTTCGTAGTTTTTAATTTGAGTGTATATTTGTTTTGCACAAACAAGTAATTTACATAAAATCACATTGACGTGCTTCTATTTCTCATAGTTTTACAGTTTACCAAAAGTTATGTTAAAAAATGTGAACGGTTCAACAATTTTAGTTGTAATTGAGGCACACTTGTAATAGTCGATGTTCACCAAAACGAAATTATGTGAACTAAACTTCAGTGTGTAAGCTTGATGAAACAAAGTGACACTATTCCCATATCAACAGATTTGTATATATAGAAAATAAAATAATATATCATCATTATAACAAAATATAGATTCATTTTATTGGAAATTTCTTGTTATTAAACTATTTTGATATCATTTTTTGCAACTCTAAACGATTAGACGCTCTATATTTCCATATTTTCAAGTATCTTTAAATTCAAACATTTAGGTATCTATTTTGAGCTTTGAGTTTAAGATATTTCTCAAAGTTGATCAAAGTTGATTATAAGTTATATTGATCGATTGTTAAAAATTGTTAAATAAAGTTATGTTTGATTGTTTAATGTGTCTAAATATAAAATCGAAATCGTTTCATGCTAATTTTTTGAATTTTATTTCACACCTTATGCTGACGCGGTTATTTGAAAATTAATCAAGCGTCTTGATTTATTTAAGTATTTTTTGCAGTGTACAAATATGTGTGCGAAGCATAAACAATATGCTATTAACAGCTTTTTTTTCTTCTTAAATCTAGATTTAAGAAAATTAATTTAATCTTAAATCTAGAAGTTCTATGGACTCTCTCATTAGCTATTTATGTTTCTTGGTACATGTTTAGAAAAAAAAATTGTTTTATCTATTTTACTATGTTATATGTTTTGTTTATTTACAAGTAATTATTTTGTAAAAAAGTGAATAAAAATGTAAAAAAATCGCCCAACGTGGGGCTCGAACCCACGACCCTGAGATTAAGAGTCTCATGCTCTACCGACTGAGCTAGCCGGGCTTGAAATAATAGATTCTAAAATATCGTGATCTACTGTGTGATCAAAATGGACTACAAGAACAAGTTTTCATGGAAAATATTATATATTTTATAAGAAAAAAATATTACATTTACTTGCACAGCTTCCAAATTCAAAAGAATTGTAAGTTTGGAAAACATTTGAGAACTAAAGTATCGATTTACGAGTATATATCGCATGGTAAAACATTCAGTTGCTGGTACCAGTAAGTAGCGACATCTACTTAAAATCATGCAAGACCATCATTTATTATATTTTAGTTAACTGTTTTAATTATATTCGCATTAATGTTTTGATTGGAAATTCTTACAATTTAATTAGATCATAAATATCAATAAAATTCAACGTTGTAAAGACATTTGGTTATCTAATTTTATCGATTACACATTTCTATCCAGCTCACAAATGGAGTAAGGAGAAGGCCATGGAGAAGTACACAACGGTCTCCAACCATAATGGCGGACACGTTACTCGCGTCTTTTACTTTTTAAATATCAATTCTAAAATTCTAGTTTAACAATTCTAAGAATGTAATCATGTTTGTAAATTATTTTTATGCAAAATAATAAATTAAGAATTGTATGACAACAGATTTGAACAAAATCATTAGGAATTTCATATTTATAATTATTTATTCAAATTGAATGAAATCCAAGATGGACGTACCGCACATTGTATGTACGAACATACATCAGAAAACTTAAAGCATTCCTTACAATAAATTTAGCTTATTTCCGACAAATTTTCTAAATAACAGTTATGAAATTATTCTAAAATGTTCAATCATTGTACAACATTAGTAATTGATGAAGCACACTATGAACTGACAATTAGAAAAATACACATGCTTTTATAAGAGGACTTTTAAATGCACATAAGTGCAGAAATGGCAATTTGAAGTTATGGTTCATATATGTTGAATCTCGCGTCCGTACCTTTATTCACTCGTTTTATATAAACAACATAGATTTGGAAATTTTCCAGGGTATGGGCGCAGCACGATCGACTTTTCGTCCACTTTTCTGTGTCGTCCAATGAGAATAGCTTACGAGGTCTTTAGGCTTAGTATTTTACTATGGTCAACTTCGCCAATCAACACGCGCCAATGTAAATTATAAGTGTAAAAAGTTTTATCATAAACTTCTTCATATCTAAAACTAGCATATCTAAATCTAACATTATTAAGAGAGATGTTGATTACATTACATTACTAAGCTGTTAAACTCATCATTTTGTATTTTCATTATTTGCAAGAAAGTCTTTACTATTGCATTGAGAATTCAGATTAACGAATCTTTTTATACATTGAAACTCTTGGGATGATAAAATATTTTTCTATAATTTAAACTGTCCAAACAGTTCATGATAAAAATTAAAAGCTTATAGTTGCTTGAGAAAAAATTGAAGCAAGTGTCATTCAATAAGTTAGTCTCTAGATCATTTTTTCATTTTTGAAAAAACTCACCTATCGGATATTTCCGTGAAAGTTTCGTTCTCGTGCCAAGAGAGCGAGGGGCGGAGGGAAGGGAAAAAGGGTCAGAAGTGGGGGCACTAGAGGAGAAATGGCGTTTCTTGTTACCGCCGTCGGTATATACGACGTGTTTGAGCACAACCAAGCGCGTAATTCCGCCGACGCATGCGTAGTTTGCCCGCCTGATATTTCGAGTTGTCTACGTCATTGAGTGCCTCCGCCTATGTTTCCTACTGCGCCAGAACGTAATAATACCTACCGTATATTTTCGAATTGAAATTCCCTCGTTTTTGGTGGCATTTAAAAGCTTTCCGCAGCAGACAGATACAGTACATCTTTGAAACTCACTCACTAGCCGACGGAAGCTTTTATTTCACCAAATTTATGATGATATGACTTCCTAAATTTTTAAACATTGATTGTAAAATCCAAGGATAGCGCACGCGCAATATGTGGGATATGTTCATTAGGATATATATTCAACAGGAAAAAACAACATTGACCGTGGGTGCATCCCGCGTGACATAAGATTGCGCGCTCTTTTTCAGAACCACGTGGGTGTAGATTAGTGAAGATAAACATCTATTTCAAATCTGACTTTTAGCACAGTTGTTTACACTTTATTGCACTTTATTGGTATATTTTGCAATGAGAAGATTATATTTCCAGAAAAACCTTTTTTCCATCATATATAATTTTCTAGAATATATTAAATACTGTACTACTATCCACAATAAAATTTGAAGATTTATAAGTAATTAACAATAAAGATTGGAAAACTGTTACATTGTTATAACTACAATACATTCAAGCGCAGGTATGAATTTTACGTAAAACATACAAAAATAAAACAAGATAAAATATATAAGTAACAAACTAAAAGTCCTGACGGACATACAAACTTCATGCGTGTCGCAACGGATATTTTGCGAAGCACGTGAACGTTTTCGTATTCGACAAATAAAAGTTTCACAAAACGGAAACTTTCACCACGTCACTGCAAAAAAAGCAAATACGTTAAAAGTACCAAGAACAAGGAAACATTTATCCCAGTGAAAAGAAAAAAATCACCTGTTAAAAAATACAATAAATTCTACGACCATTCCGTATGCTGTGTCTGCATCTAGAAAAAAAGAATCTAACCAGAAACTTATAGCTTGTCTGTACAGAATGATCGTAAAGGAGTCAGATAAACTTACCTCGATCCAAGGGGGAAAAGACGAGTCGGGAATATCTCGCGACAGCAGCCACACATATCCAATGACCTCTTTAATATCTCCATCCTTGTCACGCTGTCCTTTCGCGCTGGCACTTCAAATACAATTTACCTTAAAATTTAAATGGAATTTTTGTAAAACGAACGAAATTAACCGACAGCCTACGAAACTATTGACTAATAAACACTTTTCAATTTTTAAAAACGACTGGTATGAAAGTTATAAGTCACGAAATCAATCTGGAAATTGCAGTAAATGTTCGAACAAAACGGTACCGCAAATGCAAACGCGCACTCTTCTCTTTTCTACATAGGATTGTGACGATCATTTCATCTCTCTCTTTCTCACACAACCGATGCACGTGCAGGTACAGACTCGCTTTAGGCTCACACTCAATCCACTATCCCCACTTCTCACTTGTGTAGCTGCGCGCGCAGGCATCTGAATCGAGCGCCAGTCGGTGTGACGGGAAAGAATACATTTCCAGTGAATGCAAGGCTTCCGTCGGAGGCGTTAACTGGAGATCGTGTATGCGCATGAGCTTTTTCATAGCATAGCCCTCTCTCGCTCTCGAGAGAAATAAAGCACAACAGTAAACAACTAAAGAATCACCATTGCGTCTAACCGAAAGACATTCAGCCAATTTTACTTGTGTGTCGTCCGTGTGAGTTTTTATATGCATGTGTCTGTATGCGAGTACAGTGGAGACGAAACTGCTGCGGTGTGTGCAAGTGTCGACGAATATTGGGAGGTTAGATAAGTGAGAAATCTTAGGTGCGAAAATGCCGTTGAGCATAGGTGTGAACCTGCGGGTAACGGGCCATTGTAACCAGGGTGGCCGCAAATACATGGAGGACATGTTCAGCGTCGCATATCAGCAGTCATCGAATGATCGTGAGCTCGAGTATGCGTTCTTTGGTATCTTTGATGGGCATGGAGGTGGCGAAGCTGCGACCTTCGCCAAGGAGAACCTTATGGACATCATCGTTAAACAGAAGAATTTTTGGAGCGATAACGACGAGGACGTGTTAAAAGCCATTCGCGACGGATACGTCAACACTCACTACGCTATGTGGCGAGAGCTTGGTGAGTTTTCAATAACATCCCCTTCTGCGCGAATTGTTAGCTAATTGTCGTGAATCGCAATGGCATATGCAGGCAAAAACGGATCCGTCCCGCGTATTTTCTATCCCCACCCATCGACTCATTCGCGCTAGCTCTTTGTGTGTGTGTGTGTATGTGCGTGTGCGAGCGCGCGCGCGCAAGCGTATACGTGTGAGAGGGAGAGAGAGAGAATGATACTTGCCGGCTCTCTCTTACCGACGTATTCCGCTGTCTCCCTCTCACCCTCGCTCTTTCTCTTTTCAATGTCCGTGTGAGTACGACAAGGATAGATAGAGAAGAGAAAGGCCGAGGTGAGTTCCTCGATTTAGGTTATGTAACGTTTTGAGATGCTGTTCAGCTCTGGCCAATGGGATACTGTGCTTCAGAACGCGCTAGTTTTCAAATTTTTATTTTGCTTTGTTTTCTGTTGCGGAGTTCTGAAAATGTATTTTTGAAAGTCATCTATTTGTTTTTAGTTATAATGTTTTCTATTACTAAAATCTGAGTTAATATAGTAAAGAGATCTTTATAGTAAATTGGAGAATTTGACAGTCTTATTAGTTACAAAATAAATTCCAGTTAAAAAATATCTCGTATCTAATTATTTTTATATTTTTAAATTCAAATTGAATGATTACGATTAATTAGTCTTCTTTATTTAATAGTACATATCATTTATTCAAAAAATGTTTATTTTCATGTTATTATAACTTATCCTTGCTACCATAAGTTCAAGTAATTTTTGTACTTTTAACAAAACATTAGATGACAATAGTTATTTGAAGTGTTTCATGTATTTAATATGTATAGCAAATGATGAAAGTTAAATTAATATTATAATTCTATGTCCCATTGTCATTACTGCTTGTGAGAAAGCTTGATTTTATTCTGCTTTTAATTATAAGAAAAGTGTGTTTTTGTCTTTTAACAAAAGATAATATTTTTTTCTTTACAGACAAGTGGCCTAGAACTGCATCTGGTTTGCCTTCAACAGCTGGCACAACAGCTAGCATTGCATTTATTCGCAAGGGAAAAATATACATTGGTCATGTAGGTGACTCTGCCATAATTCTTGGCTATCAAGAAAAAGGTGATCCTTTGTGGAAGTCAAAAGCATTAACAAGAGATCATAAACCAGAATGTGGAACTGAAATGACAAGAATACAAGAATCTGGGGGTAAGGTTATCAGTAAATCTGGGGTACCAAGAGTAGTGTGGAACAGGCCAAGATTGGGTCACAAAGGTCCAGTTCGAAGGTCAACGCATATAGATGAAATACCATTTTTAGCTGTTGCAAGATCTCTTGGTTAATAAGAATCTCAGTTTTGAAAAATATATATTTGCAATTTCTAGTACTAAGTTCATTGTTTAATTCTATAGGTGATCTTTGGAGTTATAACTCAGAATTAAATACATTTGTTGTCTCACCAGAACCAGATGTCAAAGTAATTAAAATTGATGTAAAATCACATAGATGTCTTATTTTTGGTACTGATGGTCTCTGGAACATGCTGACTCCACAAGCAGCAGTGGCAATAGTACAAGCTGCCGAAAAACATAATGAAAAACATTTAATTGCATCACAACAAACTGGAAGTGGGGTACAAAAATTTTACTTTCATTTTGTAATCATTAACTATCTGATTATTTATAAGGTTTTTAAAATTCATTTTTCATTTTATAGCAAGGGGAAGCACATATGTGGATCAATCCATCAAAAAGCTTAGTTGATCGAGCCCTTGACAGGTGGTTGTCAACTCGATTAAGAGCAGATAATACAAGTGTGGTCACATTAATGCTTGATCCACCTGGACCTACTCATAGTGAGGTCAGTACTGATTGATTTTCTTTCATTCTTTTCAATTATATGTTCTCTTGTGAATTATTTTTATTTATTGTATTGGTACTTATTTTAGATTCTATTGAGTCAAAAACGAGAACAAATGGCAACTAACAAGCTATCAGCACATCCAATACCTGAAACTCCAAATATTAATACTATGCCATGCGAAAGTCTTTATCATTCATGTCCATCAGCTCTGAACCAAATATCTCCAAATAGTCCAGAGCCTGAGGATGACCCAATTCCAACGACGGCAATAGTGCCGGCACTACCAGTTTATTCAGATATCCAAAAATATCCAGACTCATCTGAGTTTGACACCACTGTCCTTCAAACTGAAGAGAATGCAAGTAAACACCATCTAAGCTCATCATCTAAAAAGGAAATTCATAGCTGCATAAATCAATCAGTGGCAGAAGAAGAAAGCATCCAAGTGGCTGAGATTTCATCTAGCAACGCGACTGACGAGCCAAGTACAATTAGAGAAGACACAAACAATTTGTTTATTGAAGCTGAATCTATGGTAGTCGAGAGTAGTCTTTTTGAGGAATCAACGTCGCAAGAGAGTGATCTTACTATTACCGAGACCAAATTCATTCTAGAAAAGAAGAGTTGGCTGCAACAAGTGCCTGCAGCAGAACAGTATACCAACGACGAAGCGGATCTTCAGTCGATCAGGTTTAGCGAACCTACGGGGCCAAGGCTTAGGAGAGGTATTCATGATAACAGTGATACACCCAAGCGAATTACTGGAACCGTCATGAGGCAAACAAACGGTAGGAGAAGACACAGTACCGGGGCACCACAGAATAGTCAAAGGCAACAAAGACAAAGAAGATCGTTGACACCGAAGTCAGCGGTGACTGCGAGTCCATTTATGGCAGCTGGTAATAAGCTGAAGAGACGAGCTAAGGAAATGAGCAATTATGAAGAAGCAAAGGTTGCTGTAAGTACCAGACATAGTGCTGAAACTGAAAGCGGAGAATCGTGCCTCAAGCGAAGAACGAGATCTGAAGATGTAAGGAATATGCAAGATGAGAATGATCCTTCTAATCAGGCCGTTGATAACAGATTGAGGTGGCCTATTACAGATACTCCAATCTCGAGGACGAGTAAATAAAAATTTATTCAATTTTTTTTATAATTAATAAAAATACAAAGAAATATAAAGTTGCAATTTTTATTACAGGTGCTGTGCTGAACTCAAGCACACATGGCATTCAAGAAAGGCGATTGTCTTCGCCAAACTCGTTCAAACGTCGCAACCTCGAAAAGAAGGTAACTCCAGTGAAAACAATAAGGCGACCATCGATAAGCAGATCGGCTACTCGCATTCAGATGCGCGAGAACTTTTGGGACCAAGGCAGAGCGAGTCGTACTGGAGCCAGTTGCTCTAGTACTCGTCGTCAAACCGTTGTAGGTCTCATCAGTTCGTTAGCCGAAACAGTTTCGGTATCATCGCCTTCATTGTCAGCTCCCAAAAGATGGCTCAGATCGGATACGATTGCTGCTACACCAATCAAGACTCTTAGGTCGAGAAACGTTGATATCGCTGGACACACTGTCACTCCACAGGTGGTTCATCAATACGACGTCAAACAGCATAGAATATTTGAAGCTGCAACGAAGCTCAAACAACCCAGTACTACTGTTGCTCCTCCTGCTGTCACTAATACTGTTGCTGCTAATATTAATACTGGTGTACTAATAGATACAGCTGATCCACATACTTCTGGTTAGGATTGTGTGTGTGTATGTGTATACGTGTGTGTGTGTTTGTGTGGTGTATGTGCGCGCGCGCGCGTGCGTATGTGTGTGTGTGTGTGTAGATGTACTGATTTTATTCTTTTAGTTTTGAAACGTTTTAAAACTTATTTTTTGTGTCTTTGTAACAGCAAGAAATACTACAAAGTAATTAAAAAATTTACCGTTTCAAAACAATTATAGAAGTATTAATTTGTTTCAGCTATGGGCAAAATCAAACCGCCTGGCTGCACGTCCACACCATCGTCGACGGCAACACCAAATAGGACAAAACCGATTAGTACCATCAATACCGTAGGTAGCAGTTCAAGCACGAATATGTCATCGAGTTCGACGAGTTCTATGTCGAAAAGAGCTAAAACCCCATACAATCCAAGTGCGAGATTAATTTCGACGAGGTCGCGCATCAAGAGGTTTAGCAAGTGAGCGGATTAATCTCCGACAAATTTTAAGTGCTCATCTGTAGATAGAATAAAACTTTTATAGGAAATACGCAACTGTTATAGTCATACATATAAAAAAATACTACTGAAAAAAAAATTCATTGCTTGTTAAAATTTGGCATGTTTAATATTGATGATATTTAATCTCTATAAAAAGGTCTTTCTAGTAGGCGAAGAAAAATCTTTCTCTTTAAATATGGATTTTTTTTCAGTATGTAATAAAGTTTGTCAACATTCTGTGCAGAAAGCGCGATCTTACATGAGCTTGCTGAAATACGTGCGCTCAAAATTGTGCTTTCCGCACGTTATATGGAAAAATACTACAATTAACATTTTCAAGAAAAAAACTCGTTTCGCTTGGGCGTAAATGCTATACGTGACGAGTATTTACTTTAGCGCACTAGTTAGATGATGTACTATTTATATATATGAACCATTGATCGCTCTACATGCTTCTCTCCCTAATCTCTCATATATACGCATAGGAAAGTGAAGTTCTAGTTTTTAAGGATCTCTAAGCTCCTTTAATATCATTTTTAGAATGAAAAAACGGTAAAGTGTGATTTGGGTGATCAATTATAGAATGATTTTTTGAAATTTCTATCATTTTCTATTTCTCTAGAATCGCATTCGCATTATATATTCAACTCAATAATTCAAACAATAGAATATTTTACTTTTTTTTTTTGCTAGAATTTCAAATATCTTGGTTTCATTATGTTATTTACATTAAGCTAATACAATAACAGAAATTATTTTTGTGATAATGATAACTGTTATGATTTTCAGACTTAAAACAATTATTATTTTGAATTATATTCGTAACTGATGAGGTTGACTTTATATTTGAAGAAGTTCTCCAAAATCATTCTACAAATTGATGATTAGATGAAAATTTATTTATATTTTTATAAAAAACGACTTTTTCTACCGTGTTAATTTCATAAATATCTGATAAAAATGTATTTATTGTCAAATCAACTGTCAATCAATACACCCATGTGAGCACTACCCTAACTACCTATAGTCATATTTTTTTGGGAGCAATTTTTTTCAAACATTGAATAAATACATCGTAATTAAAAAAGCCACTAAATAGGCTTAAACTTTGGAAGTAGAATTATTTTTGTAAAAATTACATAAATTATATAATCTTTTGCAAAAAAAATTAAATAATATTATTGGTAAAATGAATATAAAAATGTTCAATGTTCGAAAAAACTGCTTTCTTAAATATGTGACTGCAATTTCTCGACGTGTAGAGGCTGTGTTAAGGATCAACTAGATTTTGCTTCTTTGCTGTAACATTATTCAGGATATATATTTTGTTGTATATATTTTTTCAGAAGCAGCAAAATATAGTAGAAACAAATAAATGCTTTTGTAGTTCGAGTTATAACTGTGACAATTTATAGTTTAATGTTTTCTATAAAACCGACAGCGAATTTTAGGATGTTACTTTAGTTTCTGTGTGATATAACGTAAATTCGTACTAACTAATAGGTAAAAATTGATTATAAAAAAACTAATGCGACATGCCATTATGGCAGAAGATTTCAAATTGAACATAAACAAAATAATCAAGCATTTTTGTGTCGATATACAGCGTTCCCATCTTAACTCATGTGAAACTTCGATACATGTGATAAAATACTATATTTCCTTGTATAGAAATGTATATCCGATGCGTACGCAACAAAGGTTTCTCGTGCATTATTGAAGAGAAAGAATAAAAAAATATATTATATATAAAAATTATATAATGACGTAATGTTAAGTGCGACAAGTGAAAGATTTCGTATGACATGAATCTTGATTTATTGAAAAGAAGAATCTGTTGAAAGTTCTTATTTTAAAGGAGAGACACTTCTTCCTATATAGTCTATTCGTTTGTAAAATCGCGAAAATTGCAGGTGTAAATGACGTTGGCCGTACAAAAAGATAATATGATATTTAAAACAAAGATTGTAAAAGTATTTTTTTAAAAAACTAACCTTTAATCGCGCGAATTGATTATATAAAGACAAAAAAGAATTATGTATATTATTAGTATAAATGAAGCGATAAATATGAGAAGTGGAAGCAAAGAAAAGAGAGCGATATGTTCTTAAGCTAAAAATATATTAGTTAGTGGGTTTGCAAAGACGGGTGCAAATTATGACGCGTTTAAACCTATTCAACTTACACACAAACATACTGTATATTTTAATATAACACGAATAAAATATTATCAATAAGCAAGGAAAAAGTATCTTTTCATTTTGTATTTATTTATTGTAATGATCATTTTACTGTTGATTTTTTATATCAGTAGATGACTAGATTATGTAAAATGTGGTGTTTCTATTTTAATTTTCTTTTTCCTTGATTAATTTTTTTGGTGGTAAGAGCGATAATTATAATATATTTTTCGATTTGCCTGTAAAAAGGTGTATGTGTGCTTAACTGAGATAAGACTTTCATACAATTTGTCAACAAATTATAGTGCGAAATACATTTTTATTTGTTAAAGTAACTTGAATATGCGTATAATATCAATTATTTGCCAAAACGTACCTCTACAATTTCTATTTAATTTTTATAGATCTTTTATCAGCAAGTGGTAGATCTCTACCCAATAAAAGTCAATAAATTTCCGTTCTCTGTCAATACGATGCACACACAGAATAAAATTGATAAAATTTATGGACAATTTTTTAATTTACTAAAACTATTGAATGAATATTGGCATAGGCCAATATCAAGGTTAGGCGATTTTGTCAACTGCTAGAAGCTTTTTGACAGAATTACCCAACCCTGCCCAATATTCATTCAACTTTAGCTCTTCAAATTCTCATACTCTTGCGCCATCTACGAAGCAGCCTAATGATTTGGATATTTACATTTTTAGAAAAGATGCAGATAAATGTGAGATAATTCTATAAGATTTGTGGATCTCATCTCTTGTAGTTGGACAAGATAATTCATATTTTTTCAACAATAGAGCGTGTTCATCATGGCTTTCAATGTAAAATTTATATTGGCTATAGTGTTATATTTTAGTGTTTTGATATTCTGTTCAGCTGGTCCAATCAACAAAAAAGGCGAATATTTTTTGTTATCCATTATTCATTTTAGCGATTTTCATGCAAGGTAAACACAAATTCATTTAACTCTACGATATCTATTCGTTCTTTTTAATTCTAATGAAGCCATTAACTGGATTTATGTGGTATGATTGTATTTGATAAAACTCTGTAAAACATTGAATTTACATTACAATTATTTTCATTAAAATAACTCGAACGTTCTTAACTTTCGTCTGAATAAAGGGCTGTAAATGCGTTATTCAGTCAACTTTATTCAAGTTGAGCTTTAGTCTCAATTGTAATGTATATAGTCACATACATTTTTGGAAATATAATATTGCATTGTCAAAAATATTCTAGATTTATTGAAGTTTCTCCAAGTGGTGGACTTTGCTACGAGCAAGAGAAAGATAGGTGCGTTGGTGGTGTCTCGAGAGTCGCAACCATCGTCGAAAGATTGAAGAAAATTCGGCGTAATCCGATTTTCTTGAACGCTGGTGATTGCTTTCAAGGCACTCTTTATTACGAATTATTCAAAGGGAACATCACTGCTTATTTTATGAATAAACTTCATCCTGATGTACATGTGGGTATAGAAGCATTCGATAAAATTTATTTTTATTTGAACTGATACAATTGAATACTCTTTTATTTATAGACGATAGGTAATCACGACTTAGATGAAAATGTGTCAGGTCTTGCATCTTACATAAAACAATTGGATTCTCCTGTCGTTGTAACTAACATTGATGACAGCGAAGAACCGTCGATTCAGGTAAGAAAAACAAATCGCTAAAATGTTATGATCCTATACGTATATTGTTCTTCTTCAGAATCTCTACACCAATAGTACTATAATCCAAAAGGGTGGTAAAGATATTGGCGTCATAGGTGCCATTTACTCTGATACTGATGTGAGATACATTACTTGTCTTATTAAGTCAATGCTTATTTCTTATATTTGTAGAATAACATACACCATCGTTTTAGAAAATATCGAAGACAACTGGAAAGCTGAAGTTTTTGAACGAAGTACAGACCATCAATTTAGAATCTAAAAAATTGAAAGCTCGAGGAATCGACATAATAATAGTATTAAGTCATTGTGGTATCGAACACGATAAGATAATTGCTAGTAATTGTCCTGACGTTGATATCGTTGTTGGTGGACACTCTCACATTCTCCTTTACAATGGTATAAATCATTATTGATTTTTGTATCGCGATAGTTACGAAATGAAGCGCTTATTTCACAGGAAAACCACCGTCCAATGAAGCTGCTTATGGGGAATATCCGATGGTAGTAACTCAGAAGGGTAATAATCGAAAAGTTTTAATCGTTCATGCCAGTGCTTATACTAAGTAAGCTTTTCTTATATTAAACTTAATGTCATTACTGTTTTGTTGATTCTTTGAAAAATAATTTTTAATATCAAAATAAATGTGATTGTTTTGAAGTGCGAGTTCTGTACTGTTAAAGCAAAACAATAAAAAATGGGGAAAACAATAAAATCAAGTTAAAATCGCAAATTTATAGGAATTGATAAAGAATTAATAATATATAGGTATATAGGTGATTTACAAATTGTCTTCAATGAAGATGGCGAACTATTTCGTTGGAAAGGAAATCCTATCTATCTCGAACGATTTATAAAAAAAGGTAGACTGTATATACAATTTGTTAATATGTAGATAATATAAATACAAGTCAGTAAGTAATATAAAAAAGTTCTTTAATAGATTTGTCATTTGAAAAAATGTTGAGACCGTGGAAAGTTGAAGTAGATCGTATTGGCAAAAGGTTAATCGCTAAAACTTTGGTATTTCTGAATGGAACATGCTACTCTGCCGAATGCAACTTGGCTAATCTTGTTACGGACGCGATGGTTGATATTGTAAGTCACTAATACACATAATATAATACTTTGCTTAGTAATTCCTTTAAAATGGTAAAATTGTATAGTATGCCAATGAATCGTCCATCAGTTTTATGACGGCTAATAGTATACAAAACAGTATTCCTGTGGGTCCAGTTGTCTACGAAGATATTTATATGACTTTACCATACAATAATACATGGGATTTGATTGAGCTCAAAGGAAGTGACTTATTGCAGGTGAGTTATAAAAAAATCGTTGGATCTTATAGAGATGCTTAATTGACACAGGACAAATTGTAGGTTCTCGAGGAGAATGTAGCCAAAAGTTCGAGCAAAATATCTTTCGTGAATTTTCAATTGATACAATGGTCCGGCATGAAGGTTGTTTATAATTTAAAAAAGGAACAATCCAAAATCGTCAGTGTAAAAGTCAGGTAAGCTAATGATCGCTAAAAAATCTAATTAAATACATGCTAAACATTTTGTTCATCTTGAAGATGTCTCCACTGTAATGACCCGAAATTTGAAGACTTGAACAGCGATCAATGGTATAGAATTGTTGTGCCTAGTTACGTAATAAGTCAATCTTTTGAAACAATTTTCACAAAGCATCGCTTAATACACACTGGAAAATCTCGAGATATTGACAACCTTATTGATTACGTGGAGAAAAAGAAAGTAATCAATATTACCACTGAATCCAGAATGGTGTTTGTGTAGTATAGTTGATGTATAAAATGTCATTAAATTTCAGTCGATAGCATTTCAAATATCGAAGCTAAAATTTCAGTTTAAAATCAAGAAATAAAATATAAGATTATTCCAGCGAAAAATTATACTGCATGAATGATATAAAAAGGGCGCTAAATTAAAAAAAAATGTTCCATAAATTACTGTATTTAATTTCCACTTTGAAATTCCCGCCAATCAATAAAATAAAATAAAGGAATTGCCGTATTTATTGAAAGATTGTTTACGAAGATAATTTCCAAAATTTAGATTCTTTACAGACAAAGATATGTGCTTAGCTTTTAGTTAAATTTAAAGATATTTTCCAAGATGACGATTTTACCGAAAAACGTAATTTAGTTGAACGCATGTTTCAATCAAGCGACCCTTGCCCTTGTAAATGACCGGTTCTTCCTCGTCTTTTTATATTCAAGCACACACTTGAGCCGTGCAATGCATGAAAGTGCCGGAAAATATTGAATCGGCAACATTTCTGAACGCGCCCTGTACGTGCTTATCGAGCAGGATGACTAGCCTTTAATAATGAGTGACGAATCGCGACGGCTTAATGATAAAGGACTTGTCTTGTCTGATACTTAACGCTAGGTTGGCCGGTACACGGATGCGAAACAGGAAAGGGGGGCATAACTCACAACCTGAATTTGCAAGAAATGTGTCATTGTTTCTATAGGGATGGAACTGCAATGGGAGGAGACGATGAGTTAGATGAGCTATTATATTAATATGTTCCTCTAGAAAATTTCAGCTTTGCAATCAAGGGTATAGTTAAACGCGGGATCGAAAGGGCGAGAGAGATTTTAGAAAGGCCAACGGACAAAGTCGGAAAAGTCAGTGGCCCACGAGAAAAGCAAAATAGAAAGAAAACAGGACTAAGTAGGTTACGTTTTTGAAACCAATTAAAAAATGAAAAATGCGAAAAGCAGCGATACTTTCGACCTTAAACGAAGCAGATAATCTATAACTATAAGCTTGTTCAGTTTACTACGACGCAGCGATTTAAAAAATTGTGCTCCGTTGGATTTGAACCCATCAAAAGAAAAGAAAAATAATATAATCAATCGATTGCTTCGTATTATATTTATTAGTAGCTAATTAAACTACACAAGTAATTAATTATGAAATCTATTAATTACACAAGTAAATAATAGATTTTATAAGTTTTCCAACAATTGTGACCTCAAAAAAATGCATGTACAGGTATCAAAGATTTTTTATCGTATATGTGCAAATCTCAATACCTGTACAAAACATAAAATGTGACTTATATTAGTCCATATCTTGTAAAATGAAGTCTGATGGTAGTAATAAATAAGAGAGAAAGAATATTACTCATGCAGGTATAAAGGCCGTGAATCCTTACACTTCGTATACCCGTTTTTGAAAGTATAATATGCATCCAGTATAAAGATCCAATCTAAACCCTTCAGGTTCCATATTGCAGTAGAACCAGTCAACTCGATTCAAAATCTATATTTCTTGACGATAAAGTGAATATTTTCCAATATTATTATATGTTTTTAGCATATAGAAGATTTTGAATTCTGAATAAATGGCATTTAAAACAAAAGCGTAATGTATTAAATCACATTTAATGTCCAAAATACTAGCTTAAACAACATTTTAGAAAAAGTTTGGCATACCACTCATAAGTATCTCAGATATAGTTATTATAGCTCAGCATAAAATATCAAAAGTATTTTACCAATGTTACGTATTTGCTTGAAATTTAATTACAGTTTTTTTTATTTTTTAAAAAATTTTTTTAGGCTTCTCACTTTTACTTTTATTTACGAGAAAGCGGGGAGAGGTCTTTAGTGTAGTAAGCTGTAGCAGCTAAATCACTCCAAACTTAGCTTTTACAACAAGATTTTGCTAGCAGCCATTGTTTCAATTTTTAACAATATATTTCTGCAGTGTAGTACATTTTATAAGACGAGGACATCCGTTTCCTAAAATCTTAATATTTTTACTTGTTTCTGTTACATCAGTAAACTCGAAAATTAGAATAAATGTCTTAGATTCCAATACTAACACGTTGTATGCATCTCACTTGTCTTATCAAGAAATTGAAAAGACTTCCGCGCACTAACGTTCATTTAAGTAATTCAAAGTATACTGACTTGTGAATATAAAAATATACGAGACTCCAGCTTTCAATATCTTTCAATGATAATTTAAAGTAATATTAGAGCATTCATTTTAATGCAAGAATATTGATAAAAAATGTTATTGGCATAATTGAAAATTTGGAAATTCAATATACATTAAATATTTCCATGATTTGATGTGATAAATGTCCTACGATATTATTTATTGATAGATAAATATGCAGTTACGTTGATATGTTTAAGGTTATAATTTGTAAAGGTTATCAATAAAGTTTTCACATTTTATAATTAGAAGTTCTGTATTACAAAATCATCGAAAAACATTCATTGTTTTCTATAATATTGATGTAAATAACATATTTCCATAGATCTTCACGGTTGGAATTAGTGCATTGTCAAAATAATTTTTAATTGTCACAGCTGATGTGACAAATGCAATTGAAGAATGTGAATTTTTGATTGATAATTCATACCAAGATATATATTTAATAAAAACTAACTGTTACAACAGTAGGCAGGACAATTATAATCAATACTAAGCTTTAATTACCGCTACGTTGAAAATATCTTACTTAATACTGGTTTTAAAAAAAATATTTTCATGGATTTATCATTTATCTAAATAATTTATTCGTTTTGTAAATATGGAAAGATACGAAAACCCAGCTTTCATCATCTTTAAATGAGAATTTAAGGTAATATTTAGCCAAACTGGTAGAAAAACACAATGAAAATTACGTATAATACAAACCTTGGTATAAGTTTCCATTGAGATGATGAAGAAACCTTCACCAGTTATTACTTCTGGTTTGGAACTTCGTAACATCATTATGGATACCAATCTCTTAGTCTTGGGACAAGCGAGATACCATTTGAAACGGTAACTGAAACCATGTGGTTAAATATGACTTTGATATTTTATTACATTATAATTATACAATTAAACGAAATTACTTTAATCGTATTATAATACATAGGCTCGCCTGGAAATATCAAGATGTAGTTACGTCAGAAGTTTATTCTTTCACAAAATTTGGAAGTTAACAATAGTACTGCTAAAATTTTCTCTGTTCAATCCGAATTGTTTTCCGAGAAGTTAGGTTGGGCTATACGGTTTACAAGAGGTTATAATAAGCTGATCATATTTTCCGAGTACAACGAAACAAGTTTTTTAATATTCAGAATCACCAATAAACTGAGCCCATACTCTTATTTCTTAAGAATTTCTATTACTGAATTTTGAAATTCAACTTGAAAAATTTTTCACGTTTTCTATATATGGTATTGACATGATAATTTTTGAAATCACAAGTAAACCCTAAATAATAAATACATACTTGAAAAGGAATGAAAACCGAGAGATTTCAAGAGAATTCGTGTAAGCTGAATATTGTAGTGCAGTGATTCTGTGCATATCTTCCGATATGCGATGTCTAAATAAAAATTAAGAAAATGTGATATTAGTTTTAAAATATTTGTCAATGTATAAGGTAAAGTATTCAAGCTGAAAAAAATCTATAAAATCTTTATCCTTAAATAAAATGCATAATTTTTCCGCATCAATGTGATTTTTTATCCTCTTTTATTATCTTCTTTTTCCTATTATTCCTAAGTTTTTTTTATCCTTAATCTTGAACTCACTGTTTTGAACTGTTCAGAAGATGACCAATAAAGGTGGATAACATGCAGCTGTTTTAATCGCCGAAGAAATAATATTACTATATGTTCGAATAGGATTCTCACTTGTCATACACCTCAGATTATGCTCTTCATCCATTATTTTAAACGATTTGCCTTTGTCAGATGATTTTATTTTTTTCAAATTATATGTAATCTTCTAAAAATATAAGTACAGTTAAGTAGAAATATATGGTTTTCATGCAATTGACATTTTGATATCGTGTCATTTTCCAATAATTGCGCTTCTGTAATACTGTAACCCAGATGAAGAAAACTAAGATACCTTGGAAATATATTCGTGACTTGCTTTATAATTGGTAGTAAACAAACCTCATAAGTCTTCATTAATGACAGGCTGATCGTTTAATTGTTTAATCTAAGGAACAATCGCTTGAGTTTTCTGTTGTTAGAATTATGAGTAATTGCTTGAAGGGAATAGAGATCTGTTATCATTAGAAGAGCTAAGCTTTTTAACTATCATGGTAGTCTTCTGGAAACTTTCAGATCAAAGACTATTTTGGCTATTATTATATGGAATTGGTAGGGAGAAAGATTGGATACGGTGATAGACATGGTTCGCTTATTTCTCTTGAGAGAATGAACATGCGATTATTTTGGCAATTGTTATTTGTATATAACGACAGCATGATTTTTATGCTGAATACCAAAGAGAACAGACGCATCTAATTCTGCTCTGCACTCGGTGAAAAATTATGAGAGAAAACAAAAGGATGCCTACAGCCGAACCCTTTCCTCTACATATATGTATATATGTATATATGGTGCCATTAACCAGTGAGTATGCATACGAAAGCATTCCATCATCGGAGCTGTAAGAATACGAGCTTGAAGAACAGCTATAGTTAAAAGAGGTAGATTGTGAATATGAACACCTGCGATGTTTGCGACGAATATCTTCCACGTGATATTTGTAAGGTTAGTAAGGATCAGGATGTTTGCTTGGTATCTTAGTAAGCCTCAGATATGTTATTAGGATTCGTACACAAATATAATGAAAATTTGACTATAATATAACAATGACACTAGGCAACATGTTTTTGTTATCCTTAAAATTGTTACATATCATCAAAGCACTGACGTAACTAAATCTTGATCTCGATAATATCATCGATAGCTTACCAAGCATCGAACAGAGATGAAGTAGAATCGATAATCATTTGGCCGTGAAAAAATATTACAGTAAAATGAATAAATAATAGAATGAAAAAACAGACATATCTGAGAAAATCAAGTAGATCGTGTACACGCAGTAAAACCTAAAAAATATTGTAAGTATGATCGCTCGATTATGTATATGTAATGTGAAAAACATTTCAAAATGTTCAACCATGTATACTCCACCACTGAAGACAAACGC